GCTGGTTTATTGGCTTAGTGGTGACAGTTCCCAGGTGGATTTTATTTTCCCAAGAGGGTATGCACATGTATTCGGTGTATCCAGAGCACACGGTCCTTCTCCCACCACCCAGGGCAGCGGGATGCTGTTCCTGCAGTGCCCAGACAGAGTATCCCTGTGTGCAGGGTACTCATGGCTGGATGTTCAGGGATGCTTGTGGTGCAGGGACACTCAGGCTGGATATTAAGGGATGCTCGTGATACAGGGATGCTTAGACCCACAGTGCGGGGAGGCTCATGGCATGGGAATACTTGCAGCCAGCGGTGTGGGAACATAATTTCCCAGGGCTAAGGGGAAGGGATGGGGGTCTGTGACACAGGGCCAGCAGAAAGGTGTATTTTTTCAAGAAGTCTCTGGTGAGGAGGTGGGTCTCCAGTTATAGATCTGTTCTGCACAGAGACAAAGGCTTGCAGTGGAGGACCTCTGCTGTGGCTGCGCTGGGTGGACAAAACTGGGGGGTTCACAACAAAAGTACTGCTTTCTGGAGCCTGACTCTCCATGTGAGAGCCAGGGCAGGAGTCTCCAAGGGGTGCTTCGTGGGGGGACACAGGATATTCAGGCTTTACCTTCCCCAGCCAAACTCCGGCAAGCGTGTGTTGGTCCTTCCTGGTGAGTGGTTCAGCGCTTCAGAGGGATCATGTCCATCTCTGAGACCTTGGGGAGAAGCCGAAGGGTGTCCCTGTGGGGACGAGGTCTCTGGTGAAGGGCACATGGTGATGCAGGGTGCCTGGTGTGCTGGCTTAGGGGATGCCGGCTGGGCTGGGCGAGGGCACGCCTGGCTCCACGCAGCCGGCACAGCCGGCGCCAGGCGAGCGCCCCGGGGGGTTAAATATGGGTTTGGGCCAGGCTGGCTGCCAACGGTGCGGGTGAGGCACCCGCCCTGGCCGGTTGCTTCCCGGGTGCCCCCTGCACCCCACAGGGAGCTCAGCCTGGCTTGGGATCCCCGCCATGGGGGTGCAGCCCAGCCCCACGGGGAAACTGAGGCACCGGGTGCAGCATGACAGAGGGGGCTGCTTGGCCGGGGGGAGCTGGATGGAAAGGCGCCGAGCGGGGCTGCACCATCCTGGCCCCCTCTGCCAGCGAGGATCTGAAAGGCCAAGGGCCGGCAATTTCCCCCGAGGGTCCCCGAGGGTCTCAGCCCCGTCCGGTGAGCGGGCGGCCGCGCCGCCTTTGCCGCGTCCGGCGGAGCGCGTGGGCCCTACATTTGTAAGCAATTTGCCGGAGTGCTCCAGAGGTGCTTCCCGCCTGCCGCTTGGCAGCCAGACGCCGCACAGAAGCTCGCTGGCTCCCTCGAGGCCTCGCTCAGCCCCAGCCCCGCGCTGCTGAGCCTCGTCCTGCCCGGGCAGGCGCCGGCAAACGTGCCGGAGAAGGGGGGCAGAGCGGGGTGGGGGCCCGGCAGGACCCCTTGGAGGGGTCGTGTTGGGGAGCGGGGCTGAGCAGAGGGAACCCACAGGTGGAGTTAACCCTCAGGGTGCACCAAGCCGGGTTTTCCCCTGGAAATATCTCCTTCAAGGCTTTTTTGCATTTTGGCGCTGGATCCGTGTTTTTCTGGGTTGATCTTCCTGGGATGTGAGTGTGCTCCCAGCGGGGAGTGGGGGGGGTGCGGATCAGGCCCGTGAGCGTTCCCGCCCTGGTGCAAACCCAAAAGAGGTGACGATGTGGTTGGGAAGGGTCCAGCCACCCCATCCCAATGCAGTGCCTGGATCAGCCCCAACTCTGCAGCCCTTTCCCTGCCTGGCTCTGCGGTCTTCCAGCCGGAGCCGCACCTCCGAACCAGCCGGTCTGGGAGGGCTGTGGGATTGGGAACAGCTTGGCCCGGCCTCTGCCGAGCCCCAAAACGTCTGGGCGGGAAAGGCCAGGGAGCCTGGAACTGCCAGGGCACCGACAGGGAGAGAAGAGGCTGAAGAAATGGGGAGAAAAATGAGGGAATTGGTCAAAAGGAGCACATGGATGGAACGAGGAAGAGGGATGCAGGGAAGTGTCCCCTCGCTCGCCTTCCTGTCACCACATCCCCAGGAGCATGACGGGGGCTGGTGGCACCCCCTTGGCAGCCCTCGTGCTGCCCCGCTGCTTCACCCCATCCTGGTGCTGGCTGCCCACTGAGGCAGGGCTGCCTTTGGGGTTGCTTTGCCAGCCCAGCGTGCTGTACAGTGCAGAGGTGTGCAGCAGGACGGTGCTGGCGAAGGGGTCTCGGCTGCCTGGCTGTGCTGTTTCCCCCCCCATCCCTCCGCTCTTGTTTGCTTGTGCCTTCGTGCCCATGGTGCCAGGGTGCTTGGCCCCTTTCCTACCTGTGCTTTACCTTCCAGCCTGGCTGCAAACCCTCCAGCTCTCTAAGCAGTGATTTATCCAGCTACAAACCAGGGACTAACTCTTTGCCTTCCTGCCCGAGGTGGATATGAGAGTTACTGAATTCACATTTGGGAAGAGCTCCAAAGGGAATGCTGCTCCTGACGCCGCTTTTTGGGACCTGCTGCTTTCCCAGCCACCCACGCTGTGTCCGCGTGGTCCTGCCCTGCATCCTGACCTTGCTGGGCTGCTGGAGCAGGGAACTAATTTGAGGAATGTTGCTCAGGGAGAGGAGCAGAGACACAGGCATCTTGCCGTGCAGATGCTGACAGCTGCCTCCTGGGGCCAGGGAGCGGGCAGGGACACCCGCTGTGTCCTGGGACACCCACTGCATCCCATCCCTGCTTACTGGACCCCACTGGCCAGCCCGGTCTCCTTGTAGGAGGGGGTCAGGGATGGGATTTTGGGGTGAGCTTTCCCTCTTCAAATAGTGATCATTGCTCAACTCCAGGACCAGCCCCCGCGGGCTGTGGGATGTTTCTGCCTCTTTCGGATGTGTTTGTGCTCAGTGGGTATCTCCAGCCAGCCCTAATCTTCCCGGCCTTGCCTGCCCACTCCGCTCTGCTGCCCGGCTCGCACGGTTCAGGCTCTGCCATTCCTGCCGTGGGTAAGGACCCTTCCTCTTCCTCCTCCCCACCCTTTCTGAGCAGCAAACCCTGTGGCAGTTTTCAGCTGCAGCTGATGGGAGCAAACCTGCATTGGCCTTCAGTTTCCACCGCACAGAGCATCCTTTAAAAATACCTATTTATAAATCCCGACTAAACAGCAGGGGGCTGGGGGATCGCTCAAGGAGCAGGAGGTGATGGCTTCACGGGCATTGCCTACAGCTTAGTGGAACCCGTTGTTTATTTTTAATTTTATCTTGATTGCATCCTTTGGAAATCCCCCAGGAGCAAACTCTTCCCAGCCCTTCCTGCCCCCTGCTTGCAGGATCTGTCTCAAGACTTTTGGAGGGGCAGGATGAGGCCTTTGCCTACCACCGACGACCCCATTCCTGGCTCTGCCGTACGCCCCAAGCGTGATCCTGACTCCATGAAAGAGGCACCAGGGGGCTTGGTGGTTATGGTCGCTCCGCGACTTTCATCAGAAGTGGCCCGTTTACAAGTGAAATGTTATTTTTTCCTGGCTGGTGGGGCTGAGGGAAGTGGCTTGTCCTTGACAGAGACCCCAGATCCTGGGCTCTCGGGCAGTACGGGACTGGGAGGGAAAAGTGGGAGCTCTGCGAAGTGATGGCTTTGGGAGCCCATTCCTTTGGGAAGGGCTTTCGGGTTGGCGGAGCTGCTTGCTGCCATTCTGAAGATGAACAGCCCCTGGAAGAGGTAATTAGGGTGATCCTGCCCTGATCCCCTCAGCTGTGGCTACAAGTCAGGAGTCCTTCACCAGCAGCCACTCCAAGCCCATTTTGCGTTAATTAGGCTGTTTACAAAACATTGTAAATTGCAGTAATGAACGCACCATTCCTTGGTTTCCTTTAATTATCCATTTGCATGATGAACGAGCCGCCCCCCTCTTCAGCTCTCCTTTCAGGCAGAGGGGGCCAAGCAGCAGAGTGTGGCTTTGTATGGGATCTGCCATGCGAGGTGGGCAGAGACCTTGGGAGAGGAGGAAAAGAGAAGGGAATGGAGGAGGAGAGGGAGCTGCAGCCCCTGAGATCTGCCCAGCTGTGAGGGAGGGGGCTCCTTCCCCAGGACCCCACCATGTTTTAGTGGGGTTTGAGCAGCTGTTTCACCCCAGGCTCAGAGCCCGGCTCTCAGACTTTGATTTTTCATAGGAAACAGCCCAGAAACCTTTCAAAGCGTTTAATCCTCCCTAGCTCGGCGATGGGGCTGCCTGGAAAGGCAGAGGAGGAGTGGCGGCATTTCTTGCCCCCTGCATACCTTCCCCTTTCTTTCCCTTTTGACTTGGCGGATGAATTCCAGAGATGTTAATCCGCTCTCAACCCCTCGGTGAAGAATAAAACGTCCTCTCTGTGTGGGAGGAAGGAATTCATTCAAATTAATTGCGGGAAAGAGTGGGGAGCTGGGGGTGCGCGTGAGGCTGTGCTGACGGTGGGGTGAGCATCCTCCGCCGCTCAGTGGTCCCCGAAGGGGAGGGAGGGACAGATGGGGGGACGGGGATATCCGAGGTGGCACAATCCTCGCATTCACGGCCAGAGGCTTCAGCCTCTGCCCCGGCCATAAAAATGCCAACCATGTGGTCTGTGGGCCGGGCCTTGGCGGCAGCGGCAGGCACAGGGAGCCGAGTGGGGGGCAAAATGGCCCTGCTCAGCAGTTTTGGGGTGTTGCTGCCTATAAAGGGGAGGGAAGTGCCATCTCACTGAGCCAGGGTGACAGGAGCTGCGCGGGGTCTGACCCGTCCCGGGGGCATGCAGAGATGGGGCAGGAGGGACGGAGGGAGGAAGGGGTCTGAGCTTGAGCTGGGTCAGCCCGTTGAGGGTTCGTGGAGGTGAACATGGAGTGAGAGGAGAGGAGAGGCCACCGGGATGGGCCAGGCGCTGTTCTGCGCGCTGGGAGGTCGGTGTGGCTGCAGGATGGGGTTCACAGGGGGTCCCGGGGGCCATGCGGGGTGGCGCGGGCTCTGCCTCCTGCCCTGACCTTCGCCTCTTCTCTCTGCAGAGCTCCTGGGATCTGCCAAGCGCCTGAATGTGAACTACCAGGATGCGGACGGGTGAGTGCTCCCCTGGCAGGGTGCTGGGTGCTGCTGCCGCCAGTGTAGGTGGGCTTGCTCTCCCCAATATCCAGTCGGTTCTGCAGCTCTGCGTATCATAAAGCTTTCAAGGGTAGCTGCTGAGCCCTGCAGCATCCCAAACCAGGGCAAGCCCTGCAGAGGCAGACCCAACGCCTGCCCGGATCTGAGCTCGATCCATCCTGCAAAATCTTTTGTAAAGTTCTTCTGTGTCCCCTTCTGTAGGTCTGGGGGTGAAAAGGGATTGCAGCATGTCCAGCCGGTGCCTGTGTCCCAAGTGCTGGTTGAAGCACAGAGGAGCACCCGTCCGGCCCCGGTGCCTGCACGTGCTTGTGCCTGTGTCTAATATCCCAAGAGCAAAATCCCTTCATTTGGGGGGGGTTAAAGAGAGAAAAGATGAGGTTGCCATGTGACCACAGCATATTTGTATAGCTCATCACTTCCAAAATCCAAGCACTTAATAAGCTGAGTACTGAGAGTTAAAGAAACCACAAAGGCCCATAAAATAAATAAGCATGTTATTCTTATTGAATTAACTCTGACCTGTGAGTTATTAGCATTGTTTTATGTACTGTTGTTGTACCTAATTTCTACATGTTTTCTTTTTGAGGACTCTGTAGGAGGAGGTGTCTGTGATGAGTCCTAACAGGCCAGCGGGGGGTTGAAAATGTGCAGGATGGCTCTGCCTTAAAATAATACTGTGCAGATGGAGCTTAATAGAAAAAAAATGTAATAATAGAAGCAATGATCTGATTCTGATAAGGCACAGGGCTTGTGTTTGGGCAGCTCCAGGAGGGCTGCTGATGGGAATGAGGGTAAAGGGTCCCTTCCCCATCGGAGGGCCACGTGCAGCATGCAGGTTATTGACAGTGCGGGTGGTGAGTTGGGTTTTACTGGGGTGCAGGAAGGAGATGGTGGGGATGTGAGACCCGTGCATGGGGATGGCAGAGTACACCCTCCTGGGAGAGCCGTGCTGCTGGCAGTGTCCTCGGCATCGCCTTGCTCGCGGCTTGGAGATGATGAGGTGGGCAACTGTGGGTTTGTGCAGCCGCCTCCAGGGCAGAGCTGGCCCTGCAGGATCACCACAGGGTTGGCTCGGGAGGGATTTTGTACCCCCCACATTCTTGCTTCGAGGCAGAGGTTTTGGCGTGGGCTCAGGGACATGGTGGCTGCACTGAAGGAGGGAGCAGCCCTCTCTGCTTGGGTTAGTGTCCTTCCTGCAACGCCCAGAGACTCTGCACAGGGACTCTGCTCTGGGACCGCGGATCAGGAGGAGAGGCTTGCTGGCCGAGCTGCGTCCCTGGCACAGGGCTGGGACACTGCCGAGCCCATCGGAGCCCTGGGCTGATGCCATCTGGAGTCCCCCACGCCCCTTGGAGCGGCACACGGGCTAATCCCTGGCGGCACGGGGACCCCTCGCTCAGCCATGGTCCTTCACGTGACAGCACGGGGGGAGCACCGGGCAGACAGGCCCCTTTCACAGCCCTGAGACACAGGGCTCTTTCATTACCAGTGGCCTCCCACGCTGTGCCGTGGGCTCCCGGCATCCCTGCTGGCATGGGGAGGGGGTGGCTGGCGGAGGGGCCAGGAGTAGCCGCTGGGCTGGTGCGTTTGCTGGATGCTGTGAGCCAGCGCTGCTTCGGGCTGCCTGGCTGCACCGCGGAGAGGGGCGATGCATCGCTGTCCATCCTGCCTGCTTGCCCCCCGCACAGGGCAGGGGGATGAGGGACCCATCTCACTGGGGTCTCGGGGTGCACAGGGTCCCTGCATCCCTCGCTGAGCCCTGGGGCATGGACAGCATGGAGAGATTTAACTCTGCTTTGCTGTGGGGAAACTGAAGCATTGGGAATGGGGAATCGGGAGGGACGTAGCCATGAGCAGCTGGTGACTGTCCCGGCCGTCACCCTGTGTCCTTGTGCAGGTGGGGGCTTTAGGGATAGCATGGCAGGGACCGGGGCTGGGCTGAGCTCTGCCTTGTGTTGCAGGTTCTCAGCGCTGCACCACGCAGCCCTGGGCGGCAGCCTGGACCTCATCTCGCTGCTGCTGGAGGCACAGGCCACCGTTGACATCAAGGACAGCAATGGTAAGGGTGACCCTCCGGCACGGCCCCGTTCCTCTGGCAGCCGGCTCAGCCCTCTGAACGAGGTTGGGGGCCTCATCCAGCCCTGCTGAGCACCGTTCCCCCGCAGGGATGCGACCCCTGCACTACGCGGCCTGGCAGGGGCGCGTGGAGCCGGTGCGGGTGCTGCTGCGTGCCTCTGCCTCCGTCAACATGGCCTCACTGGACGGGCAGATCCCGCTGCACCTCTCGGCGCAGTACGGCCACTACGAGGTGGTAAGTGAGAGCCCAGCACCACCCACGCACCCGCTCCAGGTCTCTCTGGGGGTGCACGGGTGGGGGCGAACCCCATTGTGCCAGGCGGGAGGGAGGCAGGGGCAAGGGATGATGCTGAGCCCCTGTACCACGTTGCTCTCCCACAGTCAGAGATGCTGCTCCAGCACCAGTCCAACCCCTGCCTCATCAACAAGGCGAAGAAAACCCCCCTGGACCTGGCCTGCGAGTTTGGGCGGCTGAAGGTGAGTGCTGCGGGGCTCTACCCTGCACCGGGCACTTCTCCGGGGGCAGCTCTGGAGCTGGCTGGCTCCTCTGGGAGCAAAGCGCTGGGTCCAGCTGTGACCGCTCTCCCTCTGCCACAAGCCTTGGAGCCTGGCAGGCAGCACCTGCCTTCTCCCATGGCTGGGCAAGGCTGGATCCTGAACCTGGGAGCTGCAGGTTTTGCTCCTGACCTTGTGGCAGGGCAGCGTCAGGCTGGGAGAGAAGCCAGGAGTCCTCGCTCCCGGTTTCCCGCAGCCTCCCGCTGCCCACCCCAGCTTTGCTCCTGTTTAAGCACAGATAGGCTGAGCTGGCTAATCCCCACAAGCCCTGAGTGCCCGTCCCTGCTCAGCTGCTCGACGTCCCCGGCACGGCTCGTGGGGATGGGGCCGCCCTGCACTCTGGGAGACCTCAGCCCAGCCAGCACCACACCACCGGGCTGGGCTGGAGCATGGCCAGGCAGACTGTCCCGTGGCCCACTGGGGAGGTGACCAAGGGGATATTTCCATTTTTGGAGTATCTATAATGTCTGCAGCTATAAACAGGGCAGTAAAAATAACTCCTCTGTGCCTCTGGGCTGCCCTGAGACACTGAGAGTCGCTCTGGGCTTGGAAAGACTGGAGCTTTTTAGGGCTTGGTCTGAAAAGCCTGATTATGGGAAGACTATTTCTGGCTGTTGTGACCTTTTACGGCCCCTTGCGACAGCATCGCCCTGCCAAGCACCGGCCAGCTCCCGCTGAGCCCTGGGGCTGCGAATGGAGGGGAGCTGCGGGATGGGGAGCAGAGTATCGGCCCCGAGGGCAAGCCCCTTGCTGGGAGGATGCAGGTGGGGGTACCTGCACCCCGCTGCTTACCCCTGTGCCCTATGCAGGTGGCCCAGCTGCTGCTGAACAGCCATCTGTGCGTTGCCCTCCTGGAGGGACAGTCCAAAGATGCCACTGACCCCAACTACACCACCCCGCTGCACCTGGCAGCTAAGAACGGACACAAGGAGATCATCAGGTAACCCCCTGCCAGCCCAGGGCACTGCCCTATCCCAGAAAAACCCATCATGGCTTCAGTCCTGCTTCCTCCCAAACCCACCTCCCTACTGGGGGCTTTGGTAAAGCCTTAGCAGTGCAAGGGCTTGTCCCCTTCCCATCGCAAAGCAGCTGATCGCCTGGCCCTGATGTCCATGTCCTGCTGTTCATGCCTCTCCCTCCTTCCTACCAGGCAGCTGCTGAAGGCCGGGATTGAGATCAACAAGCAGACAAAGACGGGCACAGCCCTGCACGAGGCTGCGCTCTACGGCAAAACAGAGGTGGTGCGGTTGCTGCTGGAGGTGAGTGCGGTGGGGACAGGGCTGCACGGTGGAACAAGTGCCCGGGGGTCAGCCATCACCCCCTTCCCCTCGTTCCTCCGTCTCCCACGGGTCTGGTGGCAGATGTGGGGTCTGGTCATGACCATGTCCCATCCCGGGCAGGGTGGTGTCGATGTGAACATCAGGAACACCTACAACCAGACGGCGCTGGACATCGTGAACCAGTTCACCACCTCGCACGCCAGCAAGGACATCAAGCAGCTGCTGAGAGGTGAGGTGGGGCCAGTGCATGGCCGGGCGCTGCCTGGCACTGAGAGGGGCTTCTCCCCGCTGGGACCTGCCTGGGGCTTCCAGTGCTCCTCCTGAACAGCCTAAACCAGTCCGGCTGTGAGCATCAGCATCCCAGTCCCGTGTCCCTGCCCTCTGTGTGGGCAACGTCCAGGGATCGAGCCCTTCCTGCAGTATTGATGTTTTCTTCTCCCCTCTCCTCGCTCTTGTTTTTCTCCCTCTGCCTTCCCTGAACCACTCTCTTTCCTTCCTGTGCTCTGGCACCTTCTTTCTTCCCTCTGTCCCTTGTCTTCAGAGGCATCAGGAATCCTGAAGGTCCGAGCTTTGAAGGATTTTTGGAACCTCCACGACCCAACTGCTCTCAATGTCCGGGCAGGAGATGTTATCACGGTGAGGCTGCTCCCTGCTCCCTGTTCCCCTGCCCCGCCATGGCCCCAGGTACCAACCCCATCCCTCTTATCCCCGCTGCAGGTCCTGGAGCAGCATCCGGATGGGCGATGGAAGGGGCATATCCACGATGCTCAGAAAGGCACTGATCGCGTCGGGTACTTCCCCCCCTCCATCGCTGAAGTCATCAGCAAGCGAACAGGTCAGTGGCCGTCCTGGGCATGCTGGGGACGGTCCCCTGTGTGAAACCATCCCGGCCTTCCCAGCACCTTCTGTAGGACAGGTCCCCGCAGCCCTGGCTAGCTAGGGGGAAGAGAAGGACTGGGGTGGGAACGGGGGGTCACGCCATCAGTGGGGTGGTAATTTGGGGGTTGAGGCTCAGATATCTCCCCACCCCGCGCTGCCTCCCGCACGAGCTCTGACCACGCGTGTTTTGTCTTTGAATGCAGGCATGGTTGTCCCCCGTGTGGCACCCACACACCAGCGCCAGGGTCCCCCCGGGGCCCTCCCAGCCCCCCCCGGCGGGCTGCAGCACCTCCCCGACGACTGTCCTCACCAGGCAGCCCCGAGCATCCCAGCGCCCTATGGCCACCTCACCCTAACCCGGACGGCCCCGGGCCCTGACAGCTCAGGTCAGGGGTGCAGCTGGGGAGGGAGAGGGGCTGGGGACCTTCCCCTGTTCCCAGTCCTGCCTGTGCAGGGGGACACAGGGGGAGACTCTCCTTCCACCTCCCGGCGGGGAAACAGCCAGACGAGAGGGAGCAGGCGCAAGGAAAGGGAGTTTAGGGGAGCCCGTAGAGCAGCCCCTTCCCTCCGTGTGTCCTTGGCCAGGCTGCATCCTCATGTCCCCTTCGTGCATCCCTTGCCAGCCCAGGTCACTCTGTCTGTCGTGCACGCTGGGAGGTGGGAGGGACCGACGCATTGTCTGTGGCCGGAGGGATCTTATGGGAGGCTGGTTTTTACTGGCATCACTGTGTTGGCACACGGGTCCCTGCCAGGGACCTCTGTGCCCTGTGTCAGCCCTGATCCCGGGGCGCTGCTGACAGCCTCCCTGCCTGCCCCAAGCAGCAGGAGACAGGAACAGCGTGGGCAGCGAGGGCAGCATCGGCAGCATCCGCAGTGCCGGCAGCGGCCAGAGCACCGAGGGCACCAACGGGCAGAGCACCAGCATCCTCATCGAGAATGCCAGGGTAGGCACCAGTCCCCGCTCACCCCATGCTGCTCCCCCAGGCTTGCCCCAGGCTGGCTTGGGCTGGAGATGGAGCCCCAGTACCATCCCTGTTGCCTCCTGCACCTCCTAGCAAAGGAGGGGCTGCAGGAGCTGAGCATCCTCCACCAAATACTTATATGCTGCCAGGACTCAGCAGGGAAATGCTCCTGGGGGGTCCCCAGTTGCCCCCCATAGCACAGCTGGCCTTTTCGACTGGAGCTGAAGGCTCTGGTTGGTACCACACAGCATCTCCACCATGTCCTGTGCCATCTGAGAGGACAAAAAGGGCCCTGGGCCAAATCCTGCCCAGATCTCTTGCAAAGGGCCAGCCCGTCACTGGGTGAAGCTGTGCACAGCAGCCCAGCGTGGGGATTGGGGGTCCCTCCTCCACTCACTCCTCCTCTCCCCAGCCGCTGCCCTCCGCCGGCGACGACCTCCAGCAACACCTTTTGGGATCGGAGCCACGCAATGGGCAGTTGACCTCCATGGCAGGTGAGGGATGTCACAACTCCATGGGGCCTTGGGGACAGCTCTCTCCCCAGCCATGGGGGCTGCTCGCTGCTCAAGCACCCCTGTGACGGTTCTCCTCTCTCCTTTCTGCCAGGGCCACAGAGCCACCAGACCCCAGGCAGCTGCCCCTCTGGAGACAGGCTCTTCTCCCACCAGTTCTTGCGGCCTGAGCAGCTCCTCGAGGGCAAGGTAACTGGGCCAACTGGGGACCTGGTGTGCTGGGTGAGAGGGCCACATTTGGGTCTCTCAGCCCAGCTCTTGCTGCACTGGGGACACAGGGGACTGGGTCTTGAGGACACTGGGGACAGGTGGGTCTTGCCCAAAGAGATCCTGTCATCTTGCCTGGAGCAGCCAGGTCCTTCTAGCCCCTGCAGCCCCCATCACAGGCTGCTCTTTGCCCTGTCCTCTCCCCAGGATGCAGAAGCCATTTACAACTGGCTGAGTGAGTTCCAGCTGGAGTCGTACACTGCCAACTTTCTCAGTGCTGGCTATGACGTCCCCACCATCAGCCGCATGACCCCAGAGGTAAGGCAGGTCCTTCCCCACCCCAGCCAGCACCTCCGGAGCTGTCGGCAGTGTGTACCCACTGCCCCGCGCTCCCCATGCCACTGCTGACCACAGCCCCACTCTGCTCGCGTTAGGATCTGACAGCCATCGGTGTGACCAAGCCAGGCCACAGGAAAAAGATCTCCACTGAGATTGGGCAGCTCAGCATCGCCGAGTGGTTGCCCAACTACATCCCGGTGAGTCCCTGGCACCACAGCTATGGCCTGGCACCCTCTTTACCCCAGGTCTTTTCTCAGAGCTGTCTCACCCCAGGACAGGACAGGAGCGGGATCTGTAAGTAAATACTTGCTGCAACGGCCTGCATTAATGCAGTCGGAGGAACCCCAAAAAGCAGTCTCCTGGCCAGGGGCAGGGAGGGGATGGACGAAGGTGCTGCCCGTGCCTTGATGCTCACGGCTGTGTCTCCGTGCTCTTTGCAGGCTGACCTGATGGACTGGCTCAGTGCCATTGGGTTGCCCCAGTACCACAAAAAGCTGGTGAACAACGGCTACGACTCCATCACCATCGTGACAGACCTGACGTGGGAGGATCTGCAAGAGATCGGCATCAACAAGCTGGGTGAGTCCCTGCCACTGTGCTGGGGTGGCCCACGGCAGCCAGGTTTCCCACCCAGGTCCCCACACCCCATTCTCCCTCAGGCTGGAAGGTGCAGGCATGTCCTGAGCACCCGGAAAGGGCAGTTCATGTCTGTCCCTGAGGACTCTCCTTGGCAGGCTGGAGCTGGGCTGAGCCAGGTGGACACCAGCTGTAGTTTGCCTCCTCCCATAGGCAGGGTTTGGATAACCCAGGGGCCTTTGCCCTGGTTGGTGATGCGACCATGACTCTTCCTGGCCAGGAAACAAAGGCCTTGGGGGCCAGAGCCAACCTAATGCCCCTTTTTGGTATCAACCTTCCCGCAGGCCACCAGAAGAAGATCATGTTGGCTGTCAAGAAGCTCAGAGACCTCCGCAAAAGCCTCAACCAAGCAGAAGCAACTCTGGCAAGACGCAAAGTCCCTGGTGCCCTAGACATTGTCACCATCGAGTCGCTGGAGAACGGGGAGTGCCAGTCCCCACACACCCCCAAAATGACAACCTTCCAGGACAGTGAGCTCAGCTACGAGCTCCAGACGGCCATGTCCAACAGCTGCCACGAGACGCTCGGCATCAAGAGCAGCCAGGGGATGTCACGGAGCCAGGAGAGCATCGGGGTGCGGTCCCGAGGCTCGGGGCACTCACAGGACAACGTGCTGTCCCGGCACCTCTCCAGCCCCTCGCAGGAGAGCCTGGGCAGCGGGGAGAGCAGCAGCAGCAGCGGGCAGTCCTGCGCACCGCCCCGCAGCAAGGAGAGCCCGGCCAGCCTGCCGGGACGGCCCAGTCCCGAGCCCTACGGGAAGCTTGTCTCCCCCGAGGGGTTGAACGGCTATGCCAACAGCGGCGGGGGCAGCCCTCTCAAGGAGAGAAACCTGCCTGAAGGCACGGATCAGTACGCCCGGCCGGTGGCTCAGAAAGGTGCCGGGACACCGGCGGTCACCCCCTGTACTCCTCCCCAGACCCCCAGCAAGGCAACAGCCCCGTACGTCTTCATGTACCCACACATTTCCTTGAAATCACCGACAGTCCCTCCCCTCCTGGGAGCAGAGCAGCCCAAGACCCTGGCGCACCCGTACCCCTCTGTCTCCTCCGGACAGAAGAGCAGCCTGCAAACATCGGCCCAAAAAGCCTTCTCCTACCTGCACAGCCAGTGCGGCCCCACGGAGCCGCCTGCCATGCCTCCCACGGCTGGGGCGGCCCCGGGCGCCTGGCAGGCCGGGGAGCAGCACAACGGCAGCGAAGGCTTCAAGTACAAGAAGCGTTCGCACAGCCTGAACCGCTACGCGCTGTCAGATGGGGAGCACGAGGAGGAGGAGGTGGCTCACACCAGCACCCTGAGCTCCTACGCCACCCTGACGCGGCGGCCGGGCCGCAGCCAGATGCCACGGGCCTGTCTGCAGACGGACGCCAAGGTGACCCGCAGCCAGTCCTTCGCCATCCGGGCCAAGCGCAAGGGCCCTCCGCCGCCGCCTCCCAAGCGCCTCAGCTCCGTCTCCAGTGCCCTCGCTGCCGAGGCAGACGGCGAGCAGCCCCCCGACCCCGAGCGGCAGCCCGCAGCCCCCCAGGACGTGGCCGATGCGGGTGCCAGCCCCGGCGACGCTGGCCGCGGCAGGACAGTGAAGAGCCTGGCGGCTGCGCTGGAGGGGATGCCGGGGGCGAGTCCGCCCAAGCCCCTCCTGGCCCCGAAACCGCTGCACGTGGCTCAGGACTGTCTTCCCGGGGCAGATGTGAATGACGAGTCCTACAAAGGCAGTGACGCCAGCAGCACCACGCTTTCTGATATCGGCAGGGACCCCTTTGAGAGCAGCAAGCCACGGAGACGGACTTTCAGTGAGCCCAGCGCTCCCATGACAGAGGTGGCTGCGCAGGGTGGGCGGGAGGACGCCTGCTCAGACACAGAGGAGGAGGCCAAGCCGGGGGTCTCCTCTTCATCCTCCCAGAACAGCTCCAGCGAGTGCATCCCCTTTGCAGAAGAAGGCAACTTAACCATCAAACAGCGGCCAAAGCCCACCGGGCACCCCAAGGCCGACACGGCCACGCTGGACATGGAGCCTGGTTCCCAGCCGGCAGAGCCCCCTTGCTCCGCTGGGAAGGAGCCAGCGGTGCCCGCCGCCGCCAAGGAGCCGCCCGTGCTGGAGTTCAACCTCACCGAGTCAGACACGGTGAAGCGCCGGCCCCGCTGCAGGGAGCGGGAGCCGCTGCAGGCAGTGCTGAAGGCATTCAGCATGGCGGGGCAGGCTGAGGGGGGAGCCAGCCCTGCGCCCCAGTATGCCCAGGCCCAAGCAGTGAGCATCGCGGGTCCTGCCGTGCCGGCACCGGCGCCACGGGCCGGGCTAGCCGGGGATGCCTTTGACGATGACAGCGTGGAGTTCAGGATTGCCGAGATAGAGAAAAGCATCTTGTCACTGGAGAAGGGGATCAAGAAGGCACCGAGCCCCACCAAAGCCCCCAGCCCCGCGGAGCTGCTCGGCACAGCCGTGGTGAGGACGCCCGCTCCAGGTACGTGGGTTTGTGGGGGTGTCTCCAACGTGGCGGTGGGGCCCGAGGCTCCCTCCTGGGTTGTTACGGGAGGCGAGGAGGACGCGTGCCACAAGTCCCCTTCCTTTGCAGATGTCCCCACCAAGCACACCTCCGTGGCGTCCACCAAGCTAGTCTTCTCCGGGCCCAAGACCATCTACCAGCAGGTCCTGCAGCCCTCCCGCCACACTGTTGCTCCCTGGGCGGCCGCTGAGGCGGTGCCAGATGTGATCAGGTCCCCGGCCGATCCCGGCTCGCTGACGCTGGAGGCGGGCGGCAAGGTGTCGGCGAAGCCTTTGGCAGCTGCCCCGGGGTCCGCCCTGGCCCAGCAGCGGCTGGAGCAGACCAACTCCACCCTGGCCGCTGCGCTGCAGGCGGCCGAGAAGAAGATCACTGTGGAGGAGGCAGAGAGGTGAGGCGGCGCTGGGGGTGAAGGAAATGCTGGGGCTGAGCACCTCGAGGCAGAATTGGGAAGCCCTCAGCGAGGGCTGGTGAAGGGCTGTGCCCGGGCACATGCCGGCGCCGTACCAGGTCACACGCGCTCGAGTCCGGCTGCGTGCTGAGCTCTGGCTGCCACCGGGAGGGTCGGGTCCAGCCTGGCCAACCCTACCCTGTCAGCACCTCAAGCCTTCGGGTGATGTTTCGATTCTCTCCCTTTCCTCCCCAGCCACCCCGGGGCCGTGCACTCGGCCAAGAACATCCTGGAAGACATCAGCAACATGTTCGACGACCTGGCTGACCAGCTGGATGCAATGCTGGACTGAGGCTTGCTCCCTCCTTCCCCTCCCAGCCTCCGGTTGCTCCGCCAGTGCCCCTCGTGACAGGGGGAGAGCAGAATTGGCACCAAGCGGTGCCTCCAGGTCTCTCCAGCCACCTCCCTCCCCGCGCTTTGCGCTGCGGCTGGGAACGCAGCTGCCCCTCCTTGCTCACCCCTGGCTCCGTATCAGTCGTGCCAGTGCGGCCGCTGGCTGGTTTCCGAGGGGGTCAGGCGTTTCCCACCAGACTGGCAGCAGGAGGAGAGCTCAGAGGGGCTGCACATGCGGTCCTGGAGGCCACGGAGAAGCCCTTGCTCCCTTGCACAGAGCCGAGGAGCCTCCACAAGGGACCTTTCTCTTTCCCCGCTGCATTGCTGAGTCCTGCCTCTTATTATTTATCCCCTGCCAACAATGTGTCAAAGGAGAGACCTCCCCGGGCAGCCGCCACCGAGCTGGCTATTTACTGAGCAGATCCCAGCCCTGGCAAGGCCTGACAGCAGCTAAAAGAAGACAGGGCTTGTTGCAATTTGGCAGCTTGTGGAGCGAGAAGGAAACTTTCTGCTTTATTTGTTGCTTTTCCAAACGCGTCAGCGTCAGGCAGCGTGTAATCCAAGCGGATCGAAATCCCTCCGGTGGGACCCACAGACCCCTCAAGATGGGGCTGGCACAGCTCGCGAAGCAGCGGATGCTCCGCCATGGCCCTGCCAGACGTGGAGGTCTACCTGCCTCTTCCCCAGAGTAAGGAGGATGGTGATGGCAGCGCCGAAGGCCTGTGTGTTTGTGCCAGTCCGGCTGGATCGTGCTGCTAAACGGAGGCTGCCCTCTGCCGACACCGTGCCTATGCAAACCGCCACCCCGGTGCTTCCAGGGTGAAGTAGCAGCTTGGTTAGTGCTTTTTTTTCTTCTTTTTTTTTTTTTTTTTTTTTCCTCCCCTATCCCTTTTTTGGGGAGAAAACGGTCCCTTTTCCCACTCCCCCTCCCTGCGGGGAGCTACTGGCACAAACTCCGCTTTGAGCGTTGTTAAACAGTAGCAGCATTTGGGCCTCCGGGAGATGCTTCCTTGCAGCACTGAAACCCAGCGGGAGAGGTGACCCCGCGCGCACTGGGTGAATTCGGCTCGGCAACAGCTACTGTGCGTACAGGCTGGATGCGGTCACAGCCCCGTGGCTGCAGCAGGGGAACAGCAGCGATAGCTCATTGCATCCAAGCGGTAGGAACGGCTGCATAGCTTGAAGACAGATTTCTCTAGCAGGATCTGTTTAGTAGTGCATGTCTAAATATGTCCAAGAGCCCTGAACTTGGCTTGCGCTCGGCATGCCAAGCAAATGAAAGCATCAGAGCACCAGAAGGGAACCTAAGATTGTACTAAAGTGCCATTTGCTACAAAAATTCCAAACAAAGGGACCCCCCCCCCCCCCCACGTATCCCCTTTTAAAAAAATCACCAACGCAAAACCAAGTTGGAAAAGGAGAAGGTGGCTGACGAGGCAGTTGCTTCCCAGTCCTTTTGGGAGTTTGTGACTGAATTGGACTGTTTGCAGCCCCTCATCCCCTTGCACGGAAAGGGGAGCAGCCCCTGCGAGCAGAACTTACCTGGACATTCCCCAGGGTCTGTGCTCATGAGTGGCAGTTGTGCCGTGGGCTGGGTGGGCAGGAGGTGTCAGCCTGGTTTCTAGGCTGAGAAGCAAAGACAAAAAAGCTCTGAAAAAAAAATCCCCGTATCGTTGGCTGGGACTTAAGGTCAGTTTGAGGCAGTTAAGACACTTCTCTCCTGGCTAGTTGGTTGCTCTGATTTATATATCACATTGTGTGTACTTAAATGACCATGTCTGACAGGCAAGTGCTACGTCATGGACCCGATTGTTTTTAAATAGCTACAACCAGTGGCACTTTATCAAAAGGTTTGCAGAAACCTTTTAAAACTGATTTTTACTCTCACGAGTCAACCTGGGACAAGCCCGGTTATTTTTTTTCCAATGTCCATAAACTGTAAATGTTTTTTTTAAAAGGCCAATGTATATATTTTAAATGTGATTTATTATATATATTTACTAACCAGAACTGCAAGTCTTGTACTCTAGGGTCAGGGATAAGAGGACACTGGGGTGGAGCTGTCGCTGTCTGAGCCACCTGAGGGCAGCACCACGCTGCTCTCATTGTCAATAAGGGAATTAAACATTTGATTTTGGAGAAGAATGCCTATTTTTTAAGCTCTAGATCTCTATTTTGAAGCTACTGTATGGTGTGTAAGTTATGTACACTGCAACTGGGACTAACTGACCCCAGCTGCACCTGCTCCGTGCAGCAAGACAGTGAGGGGAAAAAATAGCCCATGTAATCACCAGACTGACAACAGATTTTAAACCATCTGCTCTGTTTGTGTTAATCATGTGTTTTGTTTTCCACTAACATCCATTAAGACTAAATTCTATTAAACAGTGGGGCATATTTTACCCTTTTGATAGTTTTGCCTAGTTGTGTCCTTCATGTCAAATTGCACAAGCTTGTCTCCTACTCTGAAGTTCATCCAGGATCAGCTTTATCCTGCCCCTTTAGTGCTTAAGATCTGGGTTTCCTCAGATAATCTCCCCTGGTAAGAGTCCTGCTGTCACTTCCAGCAAGGTTAATGTTCAGTTTGAGTCTTGCCACCATGGCAGCAACGTGTGGTGAGAGTGCTGGGGACCAATACTACCTTCCAGCGCCCCACTGCCCAGATTTGGGCACGTCTGAAGCCTCAGCTACCCCTGCCTGCCAGGCAAAGCACTCCTCCATCCTCCTTGGTGTGATGAGAGTGTGGCCACAGCGACACTGGCTCCTGCTTTGCTCAGAACCAGAAGCCCACGCCTCCTTGTCTCGCCACGCTGCTTTTCTCCAGTGCTCCCAGCACCTGTTCCAGTTCGCCCCTGACCTTTCATCCAGAGGGCTTCAAACCGTGTCACCAGCCATGACTGAAGCAGTGCCTGGGAAGAACCATGTGTGCTGTGCCTGGGATCCAGGAGACCATGAGGTAAGCAGACTGTTACTCTGTAGGCAGAGGCATTCAGAGCTGGATAGATTTGCCCAAAGCTGAGCAGAAAGTGGGGAAAAAGCGCCAGGATCACGGCCCAGGAGCATCAAGCTCTCGAGCTGTGTCTCTAGAACAGCTGAGCCAGGTAACTCAGACCCTATGACATGAGCAGCCACACACATTTTTACCTTCTCGCTTTGCAGGATGCACACTCCCTCCCGCTCTCACTGTGTGTGTTATCCAAGACAATTATTTATTGCCGTTCATACACTGGATGCATGTGGGTCTGGGTTTGGGGTTTTTTTTATACAATTTACAAGTTTTAATACAAATCAAGTATTTTTACATACATCCCAAAAAATTTAATATAAAATATACACCATTTAAAAACATCTCGATGTAGGAAATTTCTTTCTGAAGCCGTGCACCCTGACCCTCGGATAGCTCAGTGGCCGAAGGAAGGATAGCATTGGCGAGACCATCCAAAAGGCTCCGTTCATACACCTCGGCTCCCTCCAAGTCTAGCAGGGGAAGGAGGGTGCAGGAAGATAAACATTTGTGATCACCCAGAGAAGGAAACCTTGGAGGTGCCTCCTCTAGAGGAAGGTGTGGCCAGCAGGAAGCCCCAGTATCTGCTGCCTTTTATCACCTAAAACAGTTAGTGGCATGGCAAGAGCTAAGGTCTGGTGGGGGGAAGGTTGCTCTGCAGAAATAGCAGTGAGCATCTTGGTGCTGCCCCCCACTCCAGCTCAGCTTGGCCACAGAGGAGACCGTATCCCACCTGCTAGCCGACCCTGGCATCAGAAAGCAAAGCTGATTTCTCAGGTGCCAGGGGTAACAGATGTGGAGCTGGCATTTAGTGAATTAAGTGAGACTGAGAAAGATGCAGCTTGTTCTCCCTGAACCAGGCAGCTCTGCAGGCCTGAGAGGAGTGAAGGCAGAGTTCAGCCTAGCTGGCAAAGGTGAGCAGACCCACTCTGCAAGCAGAAGTGGCCTGGTACTGCCACGTTGCAGGAGAGCAGCCTTGCATTTCCCCGGTGAGCTGCTGGCTCCCTATCCCATGCAACCCTGCCAGCAGCATGGAATCTAAACATCCGCTCTCCAGCTGTAGGAATGGGGTCCAGGCCTCTGAACACATCCAGCTGCCCCCTTCTAGCATCCTCTGTCTGTCCCCAAAGCCCAGAGGCTGGCTGTACCCCAACTTTGCCCTCCTGCCGGAACCACAGCAGGGAGAAGGGTATTGCTTAGAGACACGCGGTAGTGTGCATGCTCTCTGGTCATGCTGAAATGTAAGGAAGACAAGGCGGAGCCGCAGGGCAGAGCTTGGGGGTTCCCAGCCAGCTCCCTGCCTGCTAGGGAAGGACCAGCAGCCATTTGTTAGTCTTGGGTACCAAAGGGGAAGTAACAGCTGTATATTGTAGTGTTAATATTGGGAGCAAAACCAGTGCCAGGACTTACCAGCTTTAGTCAGTTTTTAGAACTAGGAAGGGAGTCAACATCTCTGTGAGCTGCACATATTCCAGTAGCCAAGCGTGTGTGCTCCTTGACTGCCAGCCCACAACAGCACCAGTGTTCCCAGTACAGCTGGGGTCTGTTCAGAGCCCAAGAGCATGTGTGCCACATTGGGGCAAATCATGGTTTGCAGCAGCCCTCAGGGGAAGGTTTCCCCCTGCCAAATGAAGAAGAGACCTCCAGAAAAACAGGGAACAGATGTGAGGGCAGCAGCATGGAGGGGAGAGACTTCCAAACACTATCACAGAAAGACATGATATAGGGGGTTTCCCTGTGCCTTGGAGAGCCAGTACTGGATGCAGCACAATCCCAGGACTGGGAAAGGAGCCGCCCACCAGCTCCGTGTTAGTCACAACAGCAAGATGCAGATATCCTGCCTGATAAGATGTCCCCTTCCCTCCATGGCAGGATAGGCAGGTCTCAGGTTTTATCTCTAGCTATGGTGCTCTCAAGCAGGCATTTTACTGAAGCAGAACAGCAATTCGTATCACAAAAATGAGGATGGTTATAAACCTCTCTGGGGGTTGTTAAAGCAGGTAAGAGCTGGTTCAACAGGGCTGAAGAAAGCTGAGCCATGCTGACTCCCTGCAGGCAGGCAGAGCTGCCCTCCTGACTCCCTCTGCACCAGATCACTAGGGTCAAATGCAGACAGCTATTCTTAAAGTCCTGTCTTACCTCTCTTCTCTTAAAACACTCAACAGCCGGCATATGGCTAGAGCAACAACGCTAGAGGGCAGGCCTGGCACAGCCTGGCCATTGCAGGGGCTTTCCCAGCACCCTGCCAGAGACCCTTCCCAGTGTCCCCTTGGGGATGTGAGCTCTAGTCCTCACCTGGCACCCAGCACTTGGGAGCTGCAAGAGATGGCTCCTTTGCCCCAGGACACAGGGACAGGGAGGTGGGTGAGGGCACGCACAGGCATGCACACACGCATCATCCAGGAGAGCACGCAGAGATGGAAAAACAAAACGGGTTTCAATAGCGATCTCTTGCTTCAGCAGCCCTATATCTCCCCTGCTGGCCCCAGATTCTCCTGCCAGGTCCAGGAAACCCATCTGCTCACACAGAGGCAAGGAGTCACTTCATTTCAGCATCACCATGATACTAACAAAAACCTCTAGTAATAAATAAATAAAGGAAGAGCATCCTGAATAGCCACCAGAGCTTGTAGGCTCCCTTGGGAGTACCCTAGCAGACTGGGAAGGGGCTGCATACCTGCTAGGGGATCCTGATAGCAGTGCCCTGCCTGGGGCCCCCTGGAAGGTGCTGATGTAGTTTTGCAAGGAGGCTGTCTGGTTTGCATGTGTGAGGGAAAACTCCCTGAGCCTTCAGTGTAGCCACTCTCCCAGTGCAGGATGTGGCTGTGTGGCCTTGGCTCTAGGGGACTTGATCTGGGAGTGTTTAAAATGGCGAATTCATCCCCAGCTTTGTTTCAAACTGCAACTTCTGCCTCTTTTGGTAACGGACCCGAACCCTGGAGAAAGCAGAAGAAAGAAGAGAGTCAGCATGTGGAGGGGTGAAAGGCAAGCAAGGCTGCCCCACTGTGATTCCTGAGCTGCAGCTGCACAGCCCCAAGAAACAGGGAAGCTCTGGCCTGGGCCCTGTGGTACCCTGAGAGAAGAATGGAATCCAGAGAGCAACCCATGGTCTCAGTCCTACCCCATCCAGCCAAATCTCATCTCCAGGGCCACCAGACACAGCAGAGAAAGGTCCAGAAATCCTTCCCAGAAACAGAGACAGCAGCTCTGTCCCCATCAGGGTTCCCTGTAATCCCCGCTGCTTTTCCTCACCAACCCATTTCCTGAATCAATGCTCATTAGCGTTAACTCCCAGCTCCGGCTGCTCCCTGTGCTAGGAAGAACAGCCAGTCACTTTGCCTGCTACTAATTCTTGGCTTCAGCTACTTCCTGTGAAAATGAGTCCCGCAGTCCAGGCACTGTGTGAAGACGTATTTCCTCTGCTGTGATTCAATGCTTCTCTGTCCTCGTGGGACGAGATGGAGAGAACAGCCCTCTCCAATTCCATACTGGTATTTCATAGACCTTGGCTGTCTCCCTCTCATTGGTTTGAGATAAGGAAATTTTGGTCTCCCTTCCTGCTCCCAATCACTGCCACAGCCCTTCCCTGACCCTCTTTCCTCCCCTGCACTTCCTCCCTGAGAGGTGGAACATGAGCTTGCACACAATAGCCAGGTGATTTACACAATGCAATCATCTTTTCCTTTTTATTCCCCACCCTGTTCCCTGTGCATCATTTTTCTGCAGCTCAAGGCCAGGCTGGAGTGAGGCTCCAGTCCTTTCTCCTCATCTTCCCTACTACCCCCATACCTGATTTCATGCAGCTTGACAATTTCATTGATGATAACCACAAGGACCAAGGAAAGAAAACCCAGGAGCCATGAGACCGGGGAGATGGAAACGTGGTTAAAGTTCAATGAAGAATTGAGGTTTTCCCAGAGTTTCAGGTCCAGCACAGTCTGCGCCACTTGCCCCAGCAATCTAAGATTATAAACAGACACAGCAAATCTCAGCAGATCTAACAAGCTTTCCAGGATCTGCAGATCAGGGTTTAGGCCCAGATGTAACACTCCTGAGTTTACAACAGAGACCCTTCACCAATTCAGCAGTGGAGAACAATTGCCATGTACTATCATTTTCCTCAGGACCAGCAAACTGGTGCTGGAGTAGGTCTAGAGCCCTCCTTCCTCCAACATTCTAGGGTGCTTCATCAGGGCCTGGGGATACTCACACAACAGCCACAGTGAGCGTCCACCACCGGTTGGAGAGGGGGCTCTTCTTCCACAACGGCTTGGTGCGATGGACGTGGGTGATGGATATGAACACTATGGGGAGATGGAAGAGGGGGTTATTTAGCACCACACACAGATACAACAATTTACAATATACACCAACAACTGTTACTCCAAAGGGATATGGGGTTTACATCACTGAAACCAACCTTTCATTCAAGGTCTTTTCAGACCAGACTCCCCACAGCAATTCCAAGTCCCCAAATTTGCAGGGAGGGGGGGAGTGCAGTAGTAGTAGTGCACAGGATTACTCACTGTGGGGATGCCAAGGTTGGTTCGCAGCCTGGCATGCTAAAACAGATCAGGCAAAGGACCAGAACTAGAGAGCCGTGGGGGGGTCTTGTCTCTGGGTCACTGCAGGCCTGCACCAGTGGAAAGCTCCAGCCCAGAGAAAGATACTTAGCCAGAGACCCAGAGCTGTCTGTACAGGACGGAGCATTTGCTCAGCGTTTGCTTGGGCTCTTCAAAACAGCACTTCCCACCTGCCAGGCAGAGTATGCCTCAGTGGTCTGAAGGACGTAAAACAGTAATGCACACTACCTCCCTCTAAAGTAGGGCTGCCTCTCAAATCAGGAAGCATTTCTGTTGGCCTGGACACCCTGCACATCTCAACATGCAATGCTCTATCTGACACCAAGGTGCAGCACCACATCACATGGTAGAAAGGGAGCAGAGACCCTTTAAGGTTGTCAGAGAGCAGCTGGACCTACTTTGCTAGGAAATCATGTGCAGGTAATGAGGGTCAGCCAGGAGGTGGTACCCCACCCCTCCAGAGGGTTTACAAAGCCTTCCAGCTCCAGAGTAGTCAAAGCTGCACCAGTGCTGTTTGGGATAAGGAAAGGGGGTGCTTCACAAAATAGCAGCAGTTGTGTAAGGACTTCTGAGGCAGGGAATATTTTGGGGGAGCTGCAGGATGCTGCTAGCTGATTTGCAAGAAGGCAAAGAAGGATGCTGACCTTCTGGTGAGACTGGAAGGGAATCAACGCTTCACCAGCCTGGTAGGAAGCAGAATCAGCTCTGAAGGTGCTGTATTTAATCTGTTAGGGCAATGCTTAGTAAGACAAGGAGCTTTATGCCTGTGCTGAGAGGCCACTGAAGTGTTTGCTTCTGCCAGGGAGTTTGTGCTTTGGCATAAGGGGAAAAGAAAAGAGGCAAAGGATGCGAGTTTTCCCCCAAAGTAGGGAATGGAGGCCTGGGAATAGGGACTTACCTGTGTGTAAAACTATCAGGCCAGCTGTGAGCTTCTGGGCTACAAGAAGAGCATTGGAAAATGTCCCAAACCAGTCAGGAGCACCATCAGCATTGCTGGTAAATGAGAGGACACAGGAAAGAAGTCAACAGTGGGGACTTACTGTCTGACCTGTTCCCACCAGGGCCATGTCCTCCAATAGCTGAGAGAACTAAGTGTAAGCTTGGAGTCAGGCTGTCCTAGTACCAGGAGGCAACAGTGAGTAAAGATGCAATTGTCAAGGCTATAGGGAGAGCACCCAGCCCTCTGTATAGCCATTATAGCTGGATCATGCAAGAGTCTGAAGCTTGTTAGAGGGAAATCAGTTCTACCTGGGAAAAGCAAGAGCAACAGGCCCTGCAGAGTGAGGGGGGTGTGTGTGCCAGGCTCAGTTCCTCACCTGTGCAGCATGATGGAGAAGCAGGCTGTGAGGTTGAGGCTGGTAGTGTTCACTTCTTTGCAGGACTCATGCAGTGTGAACCCAAAGCAGATGAGGCAGGAGCAGATGGTCAGGCTGAATTTCAGCAGGAAGCAGAACAGGAAGTAGTGCTGAGTCTGTGAATAAGGGAGACGCAGAGGATGACATGGGCATGTCACTGGTACAACCTCCTCCACATGAACCATCAGGGAATTGGCAGCTGCAGAAGACAAGCTGTAGTACAGATGAGATGCTGCACTGTGGCTCTGCCCTGTGGGCATGCTGACACTAAGGGATTCCCTTCCTGTCCATGCCAGGCTTTTGGATAACATGGCTCATGCCATGGATCAATTTATTGAGCAAGCAGGGAAGGCACAGGGCCTCAGCTATGCATCAACACTGGGATAAAGTAGAAGAAAAAACCGTGTGAACAATTTTAATCTGATGGGCCACCTACCTTCTTGGGAATGGAAGTCAAGTTTTTTCCTGTTGCCATGGTCATGATGGAGCTGTGGGGAGGCTTGCCCAGGAGCGAGATGCTGGAGAAAGGTAAGTTAGTCTCTCAACAAGTTCAGGTACCAGAACTATTGCTTTTTTGTCTGTGTTTAACATTTGAACCCAAATAACCTCCTCAGACTGCTTGAAGCATTGGCACTTATCTGGCCACTGCCTCAAGCATATGCTGTAAAAGGTGTCATTCATGGCAGGTGCAGACAGGGAGAGAAGTGACCTCCAAATGTGTGATGGGGAAAAACCCACCCATGATACCTTGGCCTCTGCCTGACACCCTAGCCTCTCCATCACACTCCAGCTAGTGCAACAGTATCAGGATTAGAAGATGATTTTCAGCTGGAGGTTCAAGCCACAAGATAATAGCAGCTCTCAGACAGCAGGAAGGGCTAACACAGCAGTACACAAATGCTCCTATCTGTGTTTCCAAGCACCTTGTCAAAGCAGGTGCTTGGAAGAATCCTTGCAGCCTTCTTAGCATGCTGTGGGTGATGCCAGGCATTGGAACAGGCTGCCCAGGGAAGTGGTTGAGTCACCATCCTTGGAGGTATTCAAAAAGCACATAGACAAGGCACTTCAGGACATGGTTTAGTGGGCATGGTTAACTGTTGGACTCAATGATCTTAAAGGTATTTTCCAACCTAAATGATTCTATGATTCTATGTCAGCTTGCTTTTAACATGGGCACAGTGAGGCTGGGGGTCTGGTCTGTGCATCCTGTGGGTGGGAGGCAGGAGATTCCACCCTGTCTGATAGACTCACCTGAGCAGTGGGTAGCAGAAACAGGAGAGCCACACGATGTCCGTGGTACTGAGGATGGGGGGCAGCTGCACCAGGCAGGAGAGGAACTGGACAGGAACAATCCAGAGTGAAGAGCATGAGCAGTGCTAGTCTTGTTACCAAGATGCTACTGTCCTCCCCCAAAACACTGGGATGAGCTGGTAACTAGGCTACCAGTGCACAGCCCCTCCACATGTTCCAGGCTGCTGGGGCAGGTGCTGCAGGTGATGCTTTTCTCCAGGGAAAAAGAGTTTGAAAAGAAACCCCTGTAGGAGGGTCAGGGCAAAGGGGCAATGCAGGCTGAGATCACATAGTCTCTATCTGTAACTTCCCCAAACATGCTGTGTAAACCTGAATGAAGGCCACCTTCCTTTCTTGTAAGGCTGTCCCACTGCAGCCACCCATATCCATGCTAGCACTCCTGTTCTCTGAGCTAAATGCTGTCCCCAGCCAGGCCAGGACTCACCTGAATGACAACCAAGGTCAGCTGGCACTGCAGCAGGAAGAGGAAACACTTGCGGATCCCATATGTTGCATGCCTGGCCTGGAAGGAAGCACAAGCCCTCAGAGCCCTTGCTGTGATGGGAGCAGTTATCGGCCAAGAGCAATTATTGGCAGGCAGGGGCAGAACATGTGGCCTGCGGGGGAAGTGGGAGGGGAGAGGATCTGGACACACTGTAAGCAAAAGGCGAAGGTCTCTTGCCTAGACGTAGAAGTTGTGAAGCAAAGGCTGAATTTAGCCAAGGGTGAGTTTGTTTAAGCCTCCTGGCTTTTCTGCGGTAACACTTTTCCCTAGCACTGCACTGTTGTCTGACTAGGGATCTCTGCAAGTTTATACTTTATCCAGTTGAACAATATTCACGCTTTGTTGCTGCAAGGCACCATTCCCAACCCATCCCCTGCACCTTGGACTGGTAGGGCCAGGCAGGAAGAGTATTTCTGTTGTGCTTCCTGAACAAAGGACAGGAGACACGAGCAAAGCTAATGCTGGCAGCTTACTGTGGGCAACTCAACAAGAATGCTCACAGGAGCTCCTGGCTTTGCTCTTTGTGAGCTGCAGGCAGAGGGGTGAGTACTAGAGAGGGGATATGCCTGGCTTACCTGCTCTATAAGTCTGATGATGCTGGTACTCTCTTCTTGGCGGAAGGACATGGAGCAAGGTAGGCTGTTCAGTTGACCTGAGAGCTGCAGTGGGGTGAGCTCATCAGAGACATGAGTCATGGTGGTGCTGGTGGCATAGCCAAAAGTCTCCCAGGAGCAGCGAGATGGGTAGAGAGGGTCCAGTGCTATACTGCAAGGACAACACAGGAGCATTAGTGAAAGTCCTCATCCCAGAGGAGAAACTATGTTTCACTGCAGTCCAGCTTGTAAAGTAGTGCTGTGCCATGCTACCTCTATCTACCTTGCTGGTAGAGAAGTGCTGAGCTGTGGCACGAATTTAGGATCAATCTCCCTAGACTTTCAGTTATTCCCAGAGATATAATTAACATACTTAGGTTTGTGGCTCAAGGCCAACAAATTGGCTGACCCAGAGGGGCATTTCCACTCTTTCACCCAATGAGAAGCATCTGTAATGCCAGCTGGTGCACAGCAGTTCAGCATGCAAGAGTAACATCTTCCTTTCAAAGATGGAAACATCTCTGTGTGTCAAGGGATCTAGCTAGTCATCCCAATACCACCCAAATCTCCCTTATGGTGACAAACGCAGGTAATAATGGACAGAGCAATTGTGAGTGTCCCCCTGCACAATCCACAGGTCTGGTGTGACCCATGGCTGGTCACTTGCTAAGCTCAAAGCAAAGGCAGCTGGAGGAGTCTGGATTCTGCCCCACCTGATATCACTTTGCAGGAAGAGGCAGCTGTTCCGCAGGTTAGCAGAGCTTCCCAGACAGCAAGTCACCTCCCCATACTCCTGCATGATCTTGATCATCTCACACATGGCTGCAAAGGGACAGGAGGAGAAACTGTGTTATCTCATTATGCACACAAAGATGCAGTGTTTCACACCCTTTCCAGTCTGGATAACAAGCTGATATTCATCAGTCATGTAGAGTGAGATCCAAAGTCAAAGTACACAATTAGATAGTTAATCAATTGCAGTCCGAGTGCCCTGTATACCTGCCTCCTGCAGGAACTGAACTGCAATTCACAGAACTGTGACCCAGAGATCTGCATCTCTAGCACATCTCTTTCAGACCAGAGCTGTAAGTATAGTCTGGGTATATAATACAGATGGCTTCAGCATCAAATGGTCTTGTTAGAAAACAGCAGAAATTAACCTAAATAATTTAAACCTAAAATAAACACACAATTTTAAACTCTGCTCAGCAGCACATCACTACTGTTTCAAGTCTAAAGGAACAGAGGGAATATAACAAACCACTCTGAAAGTAGTGCCACACTTAACCATACTCAGAGCCAGCCCCTGTTCCTGCACTCCCACCACTACCTCTAGCCTTCATCAATTTTTTTTATCGACAGCCTCCTGGGGCCTCTAAATCAAAGTTGCTGTTTGATCTGATTTTCTTTCTGTAGCTCTGTGCACAGTGCTCTGTGTGTATATGAAATTTCTAGAATGTTCCAGGAAAAAAAACCAAACCCACCCTCTGCAGATTCCTGTAAACAACTTATCTAAATGACTGGTGCACCCAGATCTGCAGCACAGCAAGGGGTTAGATGAAGTGGGGAACTATCACTCCTGTCAAAAAGAGAGAGGAAATCTACTGGACACTGACTGCTTAGGCAAACTGGGCTGTAACTGGTTCTCACTGGCACTCTGTAAACTGTGCCTAGAGGTACCTAAAATGCCAAATCATAATGATGCTTAGCACTTTTACTGTAGAGAGGGCAGGTATTAGCTAGCTGAGCACTCAGCCCCTTTCTTAGATAAAATAGTATCTCTCAGAGAGATAAAGAAATTTCGTCCTTTCTGGTCTCTGCAATCAAAAACTCTGCAAAGCAGCAGAAGGCGTTAACAGCAACTGCCAGAGGAAAATTCTTCTGGGAAGTGATTTCTGAGTTATATAAGGCAGCGAGGGTTGCGAGCAGAGATCAAAGTCTCCGAGCACACTGACAATGCTTATTTATTAAAAGGCAGTAGCATTTTGGATGTTTGCTTTTGTGTCTCTTACGAATGCAAATTGAAAGGAGTGGTTCTTAGCCCAATTCTGTAGCTAGGGAACAGCTGCATTAAAATGAAGTTAACACCTGGTTTTCCAGAGGCAGCAATAGAGGGTCATTAATATCAAAATGCCCTTCTAGATTTCTGGACTGTATCCCCTTCCCTTCACCCATGCCCACATCCAGATGAGCCAGAGCAAATGGATAGGGAAGGTATTCATGGACAGCAACAGGACAGACCCAGGCTCTGTGCCACTTACTCTCTGGGGTGCAGTCTGTGAAGAGGGGCACCAGCAAAGGCACATTGTCTATATTCTGCAGGTGAGGTCTCACCTGGTGGATCCCCCGTGGGAGTTTGGCCTGAAAAAGAGAAAGAAGAGACTAAGCAGGGGAGTGTATATGTGAGGAAGAGGCATTTCAGAGGGAACTGCTGAAATGAGAATTATGATTCTCAGAATTACGCAACTTTAAGAGCAGATACAAACTGATGTCACTGCAGACAAAAGCTGGCTTTCCCAAGCCACTGTAAAAAGCCTTCTCCTGAAGTTCTACACTGACATGCTAAGCTGTCTGTGCTTGCCCTCAGGGTTTGTAAGATCAGCATGATAAACCTGTGCTCAAGGATTTCTAAGGACTTTTTACCTGTGTGGAGAATCTAGTGAGAGACTGTGCTGTCTCCCAGCAACTAGATCTATTTCAATTGCAGCCACATCAACACACGGCAAGGGAAGGACTTTTGCTTTTTAAAACCAGGCCTAATAGATTTTTTTTTTTTTAAATCTGCATCTATCTCTGATATTCCTGTAACCTCTGCTAAGCATGTCTGAGTTCTTTAAGAGGCATGAAGAGCTTGTCCCGCACTCTGAATACTGGGCAGCACCAGCCATGGCTCACAGCTGGAGGAAAGACAAAGTTTCTTCTGTCTGCATGGAATGTGGGGATGTTCCCACTCCCTGCCCAGCACATGGGAAGGGGACCCAGATGGACTGAGATGCAGCTCCCAAAGCTACCCCATACCTGGTCATCTCCATTCCTAAACTCCAAAGAAAAGACCTGTTCAGCAAAAGTGATTAACTGAGAGAATCCCAAACTTCCCAGGCTTTAGACGCCAAGCTGGATGAGGTGGGAGAAACCAGTCAATCTGCTTCAAAGAGGAATTCCTTCTGGGAGTAATGAGGTGATACAGCTGACCATGACAACAGCACAAGGTATATAGGGAAAGGGGGCCTCACCCTATTACAGTCCTCCAGGAAGCTGGGGATATCACTGTCCGTTGGCTGAAAGCTGATGAGATCCGAGTGCCCTTCCTCTTCCATCAGCAGAAGCCCCTCCACATCATCTCGAGAAACTGGAGCAGAGAGAAGTAGCATAAACAATAAGCACAAACCTGCCTCTGCCACCCCTGTGCCACCCACATGTTATATTCACATGGCACTGCAGAAGCCAGGAAACGTGAGGCCTAATTTTCTAGGTTAGCAACACTTAGATCCCACTCAGTCATCTAAAATGCAGTATTTTTAGATGACTAATCTGCTTGGAGCTAGATATGTGAGCCTAGTCTCAGCTCTTTTGAGACACAAGAGTTTATCTGTTCTGCTCTTTCTTCTTCTAGGGGAAGAAGAGAGTAAAGAAATCCCACCTGAAATCCAGGAAACCTGTGGCATTCAAAGTGGCTTAGGTGCAGTTCTCTCACCTTGGTGTAGGTCATCATGCAGAGAGCCAGCATGGCTAGGGCTAGAGGGAGGGATCTCTGAGCCAGGCACGTCACCATTAGGGGTTAAAGATATGTGGCAGTTCCAGCCAGTCTCAAGACCCATCTTTTCAGCAAACACCTGTAGGTGAGCAGAAAAAAGATTTTAGTGTAGCTGTTCAGGCCAGAGCATTGCAGACCAATGGCATATTGGAGTGTAGGTACCTTCTGGACCCATTAGCTAGCTGAATCAGATTAACCTTAGATTGCACTGGAGCTAAACTCTCCAGTCAGACAACCAGGGGACATGCAAGTTCAGGGAATTTAGCAAAGACAGCTTACCTTGCTTTTGAGCTCATCTTCCAGGGAGAAGTAGACAAAACGAATGCAGGCATTGACCAATCCATCAATGAGGCGGACAATGTCAAGACGGGCCTGATACTGGGATGAGACCATTCCCATGAAGATCTGTCCGCTCAGAGCCTGGATACAGTCTTCCTTCTCCATCACTTCCCCAATCCCTTCTTCAGTCATGCAAACAACATGCAATCACATTGAGACACAAGGGGCCACGTGCATCAGACAAAGTACACATGGTGGGAGAGACCACCAAGATAACCCCCAAGGACACAGTACCCAGATACACAGAAACATGCAGATACACACACATGTATACAGGAGGAAAGATGAAGAGACATCCATTTGTCCCAGCATACCCAATCACAGAATCAGTTTCAGGATATCCCCACACATGTGACCAAGAATACAAGCATGAAACGGTGAACATGGAAAGGAAAAAGACAAAACAGAAGACAGGGATCAGTCACAAGGAACTGGGGCAGAAAGGTAAAGGATGTATGCTGCATAAGGTTCACATGTGCATTTTAAACACATCATACTGTGCTTAAACAACATGGCAAGTCTAGCTGAGGCAGTGGTATCATAGTACAAGGGGCTGATGCAAAGGAACTGAATCATGTTCCCTCCAGTGACATTGCAGACGCTCACAAAGAGCCTGCAAAGGCTCTTTGACAGGGTTCCTTCACCACCACCAGATCAGCCTGTGGTGAATGGGAGCTGGACACAGCATGAGGAACAAAATAATAAAACACTTCACACAGTTGCAAAGCTTGCCACAGGTAGGACTGAAAAGTGTTTTGAAAACACTCAGTCATAACTGCACCCCAGCTGTTGGACACCCCATTATTCACATTTTACAGAATGGAAGACCAAGGTGGAAAGAGGTTAAGAATGGTTTTCCAAAAGAGCCTCCTGGAGTTATATAATGGTATGTGCTTACTTCTCACTTTCCATTTCTATTCTGGAGAAGATGTACAATTCATCTAGTGGGAATCAGTTCCTTCAGCACAGCAACAAAATCCATCAAGGGAGAATAGTTGTATACCATCATATATTTAATTCCTTTGAAAAACCCAACATATGTGATTTCCATAAAATTAGACAAATAGCAAACCAAGTATCGAAATACCCAGAAGTCTTGATTCTTAGTTGCCTGCTTTAAGCAACAGACTGCGTACAAGTAGAAGAATTTCTCTGCAAGCTTCAAATAACTTAACTAGAAACATACCTACCAGCTGCTACATCATTACTTCCTCTGGAAATGCATCTACTTCAGAAACTCTTAGTTCTCAATTTCCATCTGCTACTCTGAATAATAATGTCCTTACAGCTCTAGACTGATCAGAAAGCAAGCACCTGGCCCAGCAGCAGACCTTATTATAGACAGCACGGAAGACACATACCATCTGAGCTCCAGCTATTCCTCCGGCTGCTCTGTTTGATGGGGGTTGTCCCAGGGAGATCACAGCATGTGAAGATAGCACTCTGCCCAGGGACCTGCACCAGTTCTATGCACTTGCCATTGAGCTGGGAGGACAAGGCACAATGCATTGGCTTGTATGCAAAGGCAGAACAGTATCCTGAGAGGCAGGCTCGCTGGTAGAAATCTAACACCTTCTTCCTATGTGGAAGAGACAAAAAACAGACAAAGTTAGCAGAAATGTGATGCATTTCTGACAACGTACACCATAGTTCAATGTAGAAATCACCAGTTGGGTATTTGGAAAAATGTATTCCATGAGGATTGGTCAGAGACTCTGAAAAAGCCTTTCCTTACTGTTTCTGCATTCTCTAAGCTGCAGGCACTACAGGGCAACAAAAACATATATTCCAACAGGGGAAGTGGTGAACATTTCTGTTAGCTCATCAGACAGATTGATGAGTATGAACACAGTACTCTTTGAATACACTTATTAATATAATATGCTCTATATGGCTGCCAGATGACTCCAAGGAAGTTCACTGCATGACAGCAGAAGCTTAACTCATCAGACAGAATTTATCTGTAGGGAGAAAAACACCAAGGAAGGAACTGACAACTCTGACAATAGTATCTATGGCAGAGATAGTTACAGTAACAGATTTTTCTCCTATCCCCTTTCAGAGTTTGGGTCCCAGGAGCTGTACGTGAAGTCTCCGTATTCAGTCACTGGAATAGTGTAAAGTTCCTTCTCTATGTTGAACTCATAAAGGTAACAAATTAGACTATACATGGGATTTTTCAATGGCTTCTAAGATTATAAATATTCTAAAAAGGACCAGTGGGAGTTTTCTTACACCTGAGGATAACCAGACTTAGAAGAACAATGTGCTGCTAGTCAATGAAACTAAACATTACTGGTCTGTGATGCATTGTGGTGGACTCGTCTGAAGCTGTCAACAGCAGGCAGAATTGATCATTTTGCATTTCATGTAAGACAAGCCATTTGTCTTGAACAACAAAAAAACCTCTCTGCCACCAGCATATGACCCGATTATAATTCACGGTCCTGCTACATAGCACAGTCAGAGTCCATTTATAAGAGGCTAGTATGTTAACAGGTAAAGTAAGAAATGGCTTAGTCTTACAGTCCAACAGATTGCTGTCTGATCTCTTACATTGCTATAATTATAACAATTAATTATAAGCAGAGACACCTCATGTTCATAACCTACTTGAAGCTTCTGTTAAATAGCTTAACAAGCATCAGTAAAGGGTATTTTAACCAAGAGTGACCAGGTTCCTTCTGCGATTTATCTGCGGGTCCTGAATGCACCAAATGACAAAGCTGCCCACCTGTCAGAGCCAGAGAGGGGGTAGATATCGGTACCATCCCAAAAGTCTGTGCAGGCCTCAAGGATGATGTCAGCTGTCCCATGAGAAAACATCTGCTCAGTGCCTGAAGTGTAGGAGAACAATGAGTCAGCATCACACAAACAGGCTCCCAGGAAAGGGATATCATACCAACCGCTCCCTTATTTGTTAAAAGCGAGTGTTCCTGCAAACTGCCTTGACGCACTCCAGATATCCCCTTTCCTCTATTGAAAGTCTTCAGTCTCTGTCAAGAAATTATTCAAGACTGGATGATATATATTCAGCTGCTATTTGTCTAACTGTGAGTAGAAACAAGGCTGTGATAAAATGTGAGCCACGTAGTCAGCTCCTATTCTCCCCTTACACTGTGTGACAATTCTGTTCCTACAAAAGGTGGGATAATATCTTGCTCCTGTATCCAACAGAGCAGAAGACATTCCTGTGTTCCTCTTCTCAAGAGAGCACAAGCACCAGTGATGAGCCTGCAGGGATCAAAGTCTGCCTACACTGGAAAGTGCATTCGATTTTAGGCCAGGCGTGCATCTAAAGGGTAAGAGCTATTCTTTAATACCTTCCATTCAAGTAGAAGATAATTTAACAGTGTGACCCATTAGATAACAGCCTGTCTCACAAAGGGTCCTGAAAATGTGTTAAATCAGGATGGGTCAAAAGTTCAGCATAACAGACTCTAAAAAAGTAACTCATGTTGTGATCAGGGAAGGACTGAAAATCAATGGATGCCAGAGCTTGTCCTGTTTTTTTTCTTCCACTACTTTATTCTTTAATACAAACTTAAAATATTTTATTCCCTCTTGTAGACAGAGGTGTTAAAAAGTGTTTCTCAAAGGTATGTGATATCAGTTGTCTGATGCAGCTCCGAGGCACAGGACACAAGTTAAAAGATGCAAGGCTGCCTCCCCCTCCACACTTCCTGCTCCCTTTCATTTGCACGGACACATTAACATTGCATGCACGTAGACTTCTCTGTCTAGGTTCCCTCCTCCAGCTGCTCTGTGACTTTGCCCCCAACAGCTTCAAAGCTGATCTAATGAAAAAAACATCACCGCCAAGAAAAATGAGCCCAAAGGCTTCTTGCTGGCATTGTTGCTGACTGCAAATGCTCATACTAGCTGGTGAAATCAAGAGCCAAGAATATCCACTTGCACAAACCAGGCAGGGACCTTCAGGAACACCGGAGGATTTTCCAAAACATAGCAGCTCTCTGCTTTCTGCTATAAATAGTCACCACACGCCAAGTTTATCAGCATAACAAACCTCCAAGACGAATAGGAGCTCTGTGTGAAAGGAGCCTGTCTCAGGGACACAAAGGAGTACTTGTGCAGAGCTCTGGTTAATTTTATTGTATAAACACCCAATCCTTCCCACCTTGCTCCTACAGTCAGATAGTCCTTGCTAGGAAAGAGGGAACAAGAAATGTTTATTGATTCATGCAAAACCTATGCCCTGGACACAGAGCAAGAGCTTGCAGATGACCACAGGCACAGACATACCTACGTTCATGCCTGACAGCAATAGCAATCCATTTCCCATTCAGTATCGTCAGCATTCCACCCAACAGTCCTTCTAAGGGGTAAATGACAGTGACAGCACACACTATAAAGTGGAAGTTCATTCAGCTGTCATTGCCAGTAAAGTAAGTTCAGCCTCTTCCCTTCCTAAATCATGAACTTGAAGGCCAGGATTTCTCTGGCACAAGGCAGAAAACTAATGAATAGGACAGGGAGTATGACTAGCCATTCACGACTGCTGGGACTTGTTAGGAAGAACCAAGCTGCTACAGCTGAGCCAGTGAGAGCAAAAGGAATCGAAGAGTGTAGCTATAACAAAGGAAGACAGAGACAGTATCAAGCCATTTTACTCCACTGAAGATGCCAGTAAGCCCTTCATTTCCATGTGGTTACTATGGATTTGGGATTGAACACTGCCAGATGGTGAGACACATATTTCAATGGAATAGCAAGGGAACATACAGATAAACTACGTCCTATTTCTGCTACAGCTGTAGAATTATGTATCTCCCTTTGACTTCAGCATGTCATGGGAGTGGGTGGATTCAAAGATTTATTCACAAATAATGTATCAAGAGAGGTTAGTTATGATCATCTGATCTGACTCTGCTACATAACCGAGCCAATTTATCCCCATTAACCCAATATTACCTGCATAATCCATTATTTCTGGTTGTACACGTTTTAGAAAGTTTCAAGGGACAAGACTATCACGTGAGAGGTGTTCCAATGGTTAACTAACCCCACTGGCAAAATTCCTCTTAGAATTTACTCTAGACAGCATAATCCAGTTCACACACATATTCGTCTGAGCTCCAGCCTCTAAACTAAACCGTTTAAAAATGAGGATAAGGAGTTGAAATGAGGCAACATTAAAGGTTTTTCCCTACACTAAGAATCTCAGCACCAGAAAAATTCTTGCTTACAAAGGCAAGATAGCAGTAATCGGGACAAATGAAAAAGCTCCTCCCCAGATTAAGATACAAATCTAAGAAGAATTGGGCAAGAGAAGACCATTTACCTGGTAAATCTCTGGCCAGCATAATAATCATATTTCAGATTCAATATTGAACATATGTCAACTCCAGAGAGCCAAGTTCAGTCGATTTATTATGAAGAGACTAAGAGCTCTGTCAGGCAAGCTGTTAAATCTTGCTGAGGTGCTTTAAGACCTCATGGTGCCCAGCTGTACGTCCTTTCCATCCTAGCCCACTCCTATTAGAATAGGAAGGAGTAGGAGTGGGAAATTCAGCATGGCTTCAGGTGTTGTATTCATCGTCACCATGAGTTTGCAGGGGATTTCTGTGATTTCTTATTAGTACACAATATAGAAATAGAGTATGCAATATAATACACTAGACAACTCATGAAGATAATGATTTATAATTTGGGTTACCAGAAGGATTAACATCACTAGCTAAAACCCTGAGTAATATTCAACCCTGTGCACTATCAGTTTCACTACCATAATGAAGTCTATTCAAAACCCACTAGAACTCCCACCTTGCTCTGCACTGCCATTTGGTCCCAGAAAACAGGTTTACTATGTGCTATCTAAGATAATTTTAAAAAATTATTTATGATCCTGGAGTGAGCCAGAGCTGGGAAGAATTCCTCCCCTCAGTACACCATAGCACTGATCACTAAAGTTTGTTGAGCTTATCTGTACCGGCCATAGGCAGAGCAAGGCTATCACCCCATAGGGACTCCAGACTGTCCCAGTCTGACATTTTCTAGGCTCTGCAGAAAAGGTCTTCCCATACCAAGTGGATGGCCAAAGAAAGGGGCAGCCTTACTGGTAGTGGTGTCCTTCACGAAAAGGTTAATCATGTGGCTCAGGGGTGGTCTCCTCTTGGTAATTGATGAAAGCTTCCCCAGGATTGTTTCTTTAACCATCTCATCACTTGGCAAGCGGTACAAGGCCAAATAGTTTTCCTGCTTGAAAAGATCTTTAGCACCTGGTGTGAAACCTGAAACATGAACACAAGGAGGAGAAAAATTAGACTCTAACCAAAGCAAAAGAAAGGTCCTCTCTCCTGCTTCTGTGCCATCCACTTTGCCTGCACTCATTCTGACATCTCCCCAGCAATAGGTAGGTGAGCTGTGCATCTACACCAAGATGGCTCAAGATCTATGATGAAAAACATTCAGAAAGACTAGATGTTATTAGTAATTACAGCTTTCATGCTTCTGGTTCACTGAAGACAGCAACTGTGACACTGAAGATCAGGCACAGAATTGAGTTCAAGAGCTTCCAGATTTTAATCCTAGTGTTACCTCTAACCTCTTATCTCCCCTAGGCCTTGGTTTTCCCATCTATAAAATGAGCTGAGGTACCTCACATAATTTATACCCAAACTCCTGGTAAAGCATTACTGTAAAGACAGGGCAGCTATCTGTCCATTAGCAGGTATTCTTTGTCTCCTGATGAGACTGGCAGACTCGAACCAGAAGAATACCAAGCCAAGCCAGGGCTGGCTGGAAATATCCTTGATGACATTTGTTCCTTTGATAATGTCTACAATGTCAGAACTTGCCAAAAGCAATCTCTTTAATAGACTGTTTTGGCAACCAAACAATAACAGTCAGGTCTGTAATGTCACCTTCTCAGCAACCAGGACTGGGGAAATATTTTTCTTGTGCTCTCTAAGGATTAAGTGTCTATTGACAGCCCTGATTTCTCTGTGTCTGCTCATCCAATTTCTCCTTACCTATTAGCCTGGCAAGCTCACAGAGGCCCCAGGGCACATGGACAGGCAGCACAGCATTGTGAGTTTCTTGGAGGGCAATGTTGCAGAGGTGGTCAGAGAAGCGGCACAGACGCTCTGTCACACTTGCATTGCAGAGATTGAGCAGCACATTCAGGCCCAGAGGCTTGAGAGAATTCAAGTGCATATGCCAGTTGGAGTCATCAAACTGGATGCAGGAGGGGTTCTGCTGGTCTTGGGACAGGCTAAGCATCTCAAGGTGGTAGTCACACACAAAGTCTTCAGCCTCACAAGCCAACACCTCACTGTCACCAACAACCTGGTCCAACAGACAGGAAAATTCTAGTTGGTTACAATGAATATAGCTTGAGCCTAGAATCCCGCAGGGAATTCCCAATTAAATTCCCCAAAGGGAAGACTCTATGAGTTTAAGTCTGTCTTATAGCTCCACAAAAGACTACTTGTGTGCCCCTTCACTATGCCTTACCTGAGTATGTTCCTCCTCTCCACCCTCTGTGTCCTTGCTAAAACTCACATTGGACCCAGAGGGATGCTTGCTTCTGCTGTTTGGCTTTCGGTGGGCATGGGCATCGGGAGCCTTTGGAGGGTCACTAGACCAGTTGTTTCTCTCTTGCTCATTGGTCATGTGGATTGTGTCTGCCAGGGGGCCAGAGAGCAAAGCATCTCTTTCATGGGGCTGCAAGAGACCAACAAAATGAACAGTGGTGATTCAGTGGTTGAATATGAGCCACTACTGACTCACCTGCTGCTTTAGGACTCCTGTAGAAGAGGATTTCATCCTCGCTGCTTCTTCATCTTTTAAGCAAAGAATTATGGCACAGGACTTCTCTACAGGCAAAGGGCCCCCCTCTATAATATCATGTTGTGCATGTCAGTCAAACTATGATTAGAGCCAACATACTACATTATGGATTACATATCACTCACCTCATCTTCCATCTCAGGGTGGCAGAAGGACCGTGTAGAGAGCTCATCAGTCAGATCTTCATGGCTATCATGAGGTGGTTCCACCTTCCCACTGAAGAACAGAACAGTCTCTGGGCTGGGGTTTGGCCAGGAAAGAATCCCCTGCTTGTCTACACAGCAGAGCACCTAGAACATCCCACAACACCCCCAAGAAAGCAAAATCTCAGTGAAAACATGTCTCAGTGTTCATGCGTAGTTGTAAATATCACAAGTTTAATAAACACATGGGAGGATAGACAAGTCTCTCCTTTGCCAACCTTCTGTCTTAAGAAACTGCACCTGATAACCCTCCAAGAAATCGGAGAATTCCTTGCTCTAGCAGGATTGATGGGTTGTTTAACACCATTTTTATCTCAGGATATTGCAAAACTAGGGATGAAGACCATGGGAAGGAAGCAACTACTCAACCTGTTTCACCAGCTATTACCTTATCAAGACCCAAACCAGCTGGCTCTTGAACAGGAGTCAAGAGGGTTATGGGACCAGAACCAGAGCTGGAAAATACAGACATCCTGTTAGATGCCACGGAGTACGTCTAACCATTGTTTTAGTTTGTATATGTCCTGCTTGGACAAGACAAAAGAGTTATAAACTCTTCTACAAAGACAGGTGCCTGAAGGGTTTCTAATTCCAGCACAGTGAACTGATTGCCAACAGTCTATGCTCAGGAAAGGACGACATAAACAATGCAAATGAAGCATCCACACAGGGCTCCTCCTTCTGACAACCCAGCAATACTCACAGTGACAGATCCCAGACTATGGAGCAAGCTGGAAGTGAAGCTCAGAGTTGGGGATTTGCCTTTTAAAACACAGAGGAAGTGGCTCCAGATACAGCGTATCATTTCCTGCCGAGGGAAGCAGAGGACATCAGCCAATTAAAGACTCATTCAGTGAAAGATGAGGGGACAGAAGGAAAAAAGGGAGTATGACATTACCTGCTTTCAGGTTCAACACAGTGATACACTTTAAGATAAACAGTGGTCTCCGTGGGAACCTGTTAACTGATACATTGCTGATTTTCTCAATGGAAAGGCATTTATTCCCCCTTCCAGAGGATGCTAACAGACAGTCTGATTGTTGAAATGAGAATTCATTGAAACTACCTTTGTCTACCCAAAAACACAGGAAGGGTTTTTGAAGTGATTTCATTTGGGGTGAATCAGTTGTTACCTCTTAGTATTTTTTCCTAAAGTAACTCTCATCCCCTTAGATTATAGAGTTTGAGGCCTTAAGCTTATGATCACTGTGCTGCGAATCGGGTAAATGGTGAGGTGATTTGCCCAAGGTTACTTACTGAGGCAGTGCCAATGTTGGAAATAAAGCCAAGGTGCCCTAACTACTCCACCATTACAAATGAATTGTAATCAACATGGTAATGAACTGAAAGAAGGGGATATTTTGCACAATTAAAATGTAAAGTTGGCACCCTTCATCTTCCACATGAAAACATTTCAGAGTGAGTCTGGATGGCAGAAATCAATCCAAGCACCAGACCTGTATGTTTTTGTCTGTGCACTCCTAAAGCCAGCAAAACCAGGTTTGCATTACAGTGTTATTTTACTGCTTTTTAGCTGTCGTTCCAGAATGCTGTCACTGCAGAGCTTCCCCCAAAGCTCCTTAAATCAAGTTTCTTAGATCCTAAGGGTTAGTACAGCCATAAGCTCAAATGCAAAACAATCATGAGCTATCGCCAGGAAGAAAAAAGCTCTTATTTAAACCAGTTTCTCATAAGCAAAAATGTTACATAGGTACAAAAGGAAAGAAGTAGATCTTTTCAATGAGGAAGGTCAGGTCAAATCACTCCCACACCTGAAAAACATTTCAGCTAAATGATGAACTGGCACAGAAAGGCAACAAAATATTCAGCAAAGGAAGCGTGTGTGTGTGTCCATCCATGTGCATTCCTCTGTGTGGCTGGGAGCAAGGAAATACAAATTGATTCTTATAATATCTAGGGATTTTTAACCACTCCTAGAGTTCATCTGCCTCCTTATGGAAAGGGGAATCTTAATGCCAGATTAGACAGAAAAGTGTCTTTCCTCTACCCACCTGTTTAATCTGGATGATGCAATTTATAGAGTGGCCAGATGCAGTTTGCCCCCAGAAAAAGGTCTTCTGAATGTTTATTTGCTCCAGCTTTGGAAGCACTAGTAATGTGCTTAAGCTTGTTAAGGAGCCTATGAAACAGGATCAGACTTTTTAAAAGCCTGAACTTCCCATGGTCCCCTCTTCACGTTTGGTCTTGGTGCTGACTGCCATCCCCTCTGTTCTTTAGTTTTGGCTTGAAGAAGGAGGTTTTTCTCGTACAAGCAAAATACTTCCCTTCTTTCTGACACACACCATAAAAAATTTATTTTACTCCTGGAACAGGGGAACTTGAAAGAGGTACTTTCTTCAGGACAGAAAAAGTTGATTTCAAACCATTTGCAATATTCAGAAAAGCACAACCTTACTCAGTATCAAGGTCACCTCAATCTCTGGCCAGCAGAGCAGGATTTACATGGGAAGGTGTGGGGGGAAAGACATGCAATCTGCATGCATAGCAAATTAAAGCAGCAAATGGGTGACAATAGACAACTGACACAAGTAAAAAGGGTCTAGGAACAAGCTGGAGATCAGAGAGGAAGGGAAAGAGTATCATGAAGTTCTGCAGTGAAGATGGAAGAAAACAATGTATAATAATAGTACCTGAGAAGATACCATCTCTGTGTAGCTGCTGAGAGTGTCCTCTGAAAACTTAGCAAGCTGCAGCAAGAGAAGAGACCAGTTACTATAATCGTGTTCAGAAATGTGCCATGAGGAACATCCTTCCCTAAATACTGTGCCTTCAGAGAGAAGAAAGCAGGACTCCTGCTCTGTGGGAATCACTATACCAAGGCAGACCAATAATTCATCAAAGCAGTTAAGTCTTTAATGGACTATGTCTTTATTTGCTTGTGAAGCACAGTCAAAGTGCTTGGTGCTGTACATCACAGAAGAACACACAGTCATTACCTAAATGTCTACAGAGAAAATAATAGCAATTAGACCCAGAGGAGGCTCTTTCTGGATGGTTATTTTTAGACAGAAAGAACCAGGATTGACTGATCTGGTTTTAAGCTATATGGGTCAGTTAAAAGAAGGGAGCTAGAAGACTGGTTGTAAAAGCAGGTGCCTGGAAGACAATGGACGCAGAGGAATGAGGTGATATGAATGGGATGTGGATAGGAAATGAAAAGAAATTATAGCAGAGCACTACCATGGGGCTCTTGGAATTACACTGAGAAATTTACTAACTCAAAATTTGTGCATCCAGCACAAAGGAATTCCACAGTAGATGTGATTTTGAAAAACAGTTTAAGTATATTCATAAGCATAAGTGAATACAGCAATTCCATTTGTATGCAAGTAAAACGACATCCCAAATAATAATGCATATATCTGGCACTTTAAAAAGGATCAGTTTAACAAAGCTGAAAAAAAGCGAAGACAAATTTGTCAGAAGTAATTTAAAGTGAGAATTATAAAGGATAATGAGGAACTATTTAACAATATTTTATTAAAATTTTAAAAAGCAACAATCCCATAGTAAAAATAAAAAAGTCCAGTTTTGAGTGGAAGTGAAAATAGAAGTAAAAATTAACATAAAAATAATAAAAAGTATACCAGTAGGTAATTAAAATCAGTCCACTGCTTGTTTAAGACAGTGAAATTGCAAATGATATTGCAGGCAAGGCAGATGTGTTAAAATAAATATTGCTATTCCTTATTCAGTGATATAATCATACCATATGATAACTATGAAATATTTTCCATTCTAACACTAGCTTCTGAAAGTAAATATGTTTAAATTAGCAAGTCTGGACAACTTTCTGACTGTTACTGCTGATTTTGCACAAGGCTTGAAGCATGGACTAAGTCCCAGTGCAATGGAAGAAAGCTAATGTGGTGTCAATGCCTAAAAAGGGTAAGGAGAACAAACCAAGTTACCACAGGACCCCAGGCAGACTTTGATTTCAGGCAGAATAAGAGAGCAGCTAATATGAGACTCAATTAAAAGAAAAGAAATGGAATAATACAACCAGTGCCAAACACAAGTATATGAGTAACCAATCTCATCAAACTATTGTGATACCTTTTTTGACAAAATTACAAATTTGACTGATAAAAGTAACGCTTTTGACTTAGACCACTTGGTACTTTGACTTGATACAAAAAGTTTTACTGGTTTTATAACAAATACTAGAGTAATACCAGAGAAATAGGGCTCATATTAAATCTATTAGAAACAGACTATCTCCAAATGTAACAGAAACTGAGAAATTATTTACAATAGGATGTGTTACTAGCTCAAGCAAGGACAAATCTGGGTATTTTGTTAATAGCCTGAAAGAAAACTAAAAAACACATTACTGATAGAGACTGTAAACTACACAAAGTTTGGAGCAGGGTCCAATAATGAAGATAACAGACCACTGTTACAGAACAATACGGATTGCTTGGTGAATAAACAAAAACATGCATACCAACAGGCGCAAAAGTAAGGTTGCATACCTAGGAGCAAAAATGAAGGTTGGACTTACAGGATGAGGACTCTGTCTTAGAAAGCAGTAACTCTGTAGATTATCAGCTAAACAAAGTCTGGCTATTTAAAGCAGTAGCTACAAGATCTAAAATGATCCTTTGTTGCACTAACAAGGGAACACAGAGTATAAAGTCCAAATTATTCTGAAATTTAGCACAAACACAAATGTTACTGGAATATTTTGTGGGTTTTAGAGATTCATAATTCTACAGTGATCCTGAAGCACTGGAGAAAGCTAAGAGGAAAGCCAAGAGAAAGATTAGTGGGTTGGAAAATATACTTATAGTGACTCAAGGTGCTTAAACTGTTTAATTAACCAGAGAGATGATAAAAGGGAATGTGAGTAGCTACAACAGACCAGAAATTTCATTGGTGTGCTCTTAAATCTAGGAGACAGAAGATGTAAATGTTCCAAGGGCTGGAAATCAGATACTACAAAAAATCCCACTGACATAGAATGCCCATTTTTAGCAGTGAAGGTAAATAATTACTGAAATGACCTATCAAAGGCAGTAAAAACGTTTTCAAACCAACATCAAATTCCTTTCTAAAAGGAAAGCTGATGTAGTCTAACTGTAGTAATGCAACTTGAGGCAGGGGCTTGGGGGGCGGGGAGGGGCTGGTTTGTGTCCTGCAGTATGTCTGACTAACCAGTCACAAGGGTCAGCTATGGCCTTGAAAAAGTGGGAATCAAACAGCTTGAACATGATGGGAGGGGGCAGAAGGTGGAGAAGAGTGTCACACAGGCCAAGTGATTGGAGAGGAAAAGGGTCTTACCTGCTACACTTTTAACAGAGTAGAGGGAAGGAAGGAGTGAAATAGAGAGGCCAAGAGAAGACTGCCCTAGTCAAGGGGGAGAATGACCAAGGCACATCACAACGCTTGTTCTGCAGCAGCAAGGATGGAGGACCATGTTTGAGATGTCAGAGAAAGAGCTGGCTGGACAGAGTGAGTTGCCTGGACAAGAAAAAGGAGAAGACAGGAAAGAACACAAGGAAGGTACAAGTATGAGTGACAGGGCAAATGGATATGTTGAGAATGATGAAGCAGGGAAGCCAAGAAGCTCTGGCTTTTCCCAGACAAATAGCAAGGTGTAAAGGGAAAGAGGAAGGTTCCAAAGACAGAAACCAAGCAGTGCTGAGATCGTAAAGGTGCAAACGCCACTGAGGGAGGTAGCATGTGTCCTCCCTCCCAGGACACAAGCAGCTTAGTTATGTACAACCTATAGGGAAAAAGAACAGAAAACACAGACCCAGGGCCACAGAGGCCAAGGAAGGACAAGAAGGAGAGAGAAACTCTGTCCAAGTACAGGCGTAACAGAAGTCAGCACAGAATACAAACATAGCACAGTGCATCTCACCAACACTGCCACCAGGACAGAAGAAGAGACACCCATCAGCGCATCTAGTTCAGCATCACACACCCATCAAACTACCAAACTCCACTCCCCAAACTAGCACAACTACCAGAAATTCCTCTTACTCCCTGACCTACTGCCAAGGCCGTGCCTGCAAGCAAAGCCCCAGAGCCTCAGGAAAGGGCTGTTCAGCCCACACATCAAAACAGGGGATTACAGAGGATCTCATGCACCCCATTCCTTCTCAGTGGCTAAACATTCCCTAGTTATAGCCACGACAGGGCATTTATCTCCACGTTGACCACTCTGACAGATTACATTTAGCTGATAGAAAGCACATGCCTTGAGGAGTTTTATGGAATCACTGGAGCTTCCTATCACCACAGGATATCTGTAGACAGGCTGAAAAAATTAAAACATCTGTTCAAAAAGAAGCCACACTGTGCCCCTGGGAGAGGGCATAGCTGGGACAATCACAGATCCAAAGCTTTTACAATTATGTGGACACATCTGCTGAATTCATTGTGCTCACTTCACAGAGCCCTTCTCATCTCCTGCCCTTTTCTCTGCAGTGGAGAGATACCTACCAGTGAGGTGGATGAGGCCTTGCTCATCTGGGCCAAGACTCTGGCTTCTCCAAAGGCTGTAGCAAGAATCCACAGGACAGGAAAGAGCAATGGAAGGATGGGTAGGACACCATTCACCTGAAAAAAAATTGCAATCACCAGCAAGCACAGAGACAAGAAGAAGTCAGACCTCTCACATGACATCTTGTCCACCACAGTGAAAGGATGGGTAAAAGGCAATGGCAGGAAGGAAGGAGACTGCTTGCACTGGAAGCAGTGCAACACAAGGAGAAGCACAGGAGGGGAGACACACACACCTTTAGGGGTTTGTAATGAAGGAGAACGTGAATAAATCACACCAACGCGCAGCTGGTTTTCCTGCTGAATTTGGCATAAACTCTTACAAGTTTAAAGGCAAAGGATACCATGTATCTCTCTCTATATATATACACACACATGGCAAGTGAGAGAGAGCAAACAATGTAAAGGGCAGTCTGGGAGGAATGGCAAGGGCAGAGCTGTTGTCTTGCTCCACTGAGAGCTCCTGGATCCAGCGTGCACAAGGGCCTGCATAGGATGCTGTCATAGGATGAAGCAAGCTGCTGAGGGAGGGAATCGGTCTCAGTGGTGCTCTGGGGAGGAGGTGTAGCAGAGCTCAAAGCTCTCCTTTACCTGTAGCTGAAGAAGAGTGTACTGCCAAGAAGTAATTCCAGGAGCTTTGAAAATGAAGCGTACAGCATTGGTGATCAGGAAGCCAGCCTGCAATTCAAAGAGAGATGACGCTGTCAGCTAACTACTAGTACTTGTAGGAAAAGAGTTTTCACTGCCTTGTAATATTCTCAGCCCTGGGAAAGTCTGGAAGATATACTTGGTCTGCTGCTGCAGTTCCTCCCTCCACTCTCATGGCTAGATGGCTCAGCATCTTTGCTTCTCCGAACTACCCAAGGTACACACAGAGTCAGCTGCATGAGTTAGGGCCTGGCCACAATTTCCTGTTGATGGCTGCAAATTCTTCACGTTTATTGACAAAACATGGCTATATTCAACAACAAAGGCTTGAAATGAGACCTACCAGTACAATAGGGACAGCGTATTTCAGCATCACTGACTGTACAGTGAATCTCTCATTATCCAGGGCTGTCACAGGACGTGACAAAGCCATTTCCAGACACCACCTAAAAAATGGAAAACAGCTTGAGATTTCAGCAACCAAGATCCTAACCCTGCACTTTCTTCAGATATAAACCTCCTGGCAGACCTGTTTGGAACAGTGTTCACCCTATGCTATGAGGGGTGACCTTCAAAAGAGAAGCCAAGTTCTATAATAGCAGCATTGCACTTGCCATGGTAAATTTGCAGTGCTGTTGAGCAAATGCCCCAGGTCTCCTCACCAACTTAACAGGAAGGCTCCATTGCCCCAATGTGTACTGAAACTCCAACAAGGACATTAAGATATCTCTATCTCCAATTGACCAAAGGGTGTGATATGGCTGGTTACATCAAATGCATGAAATCTGTGACCTCCCCGCATTGTTGAAATTTAGTTGAAAAGCAATGAGCTCAACAGTAATACTTAGCATATATGTGGTTTTATATATTAGCCTAACCTACCAGTTAAGGAGGACAATTGAAGACAGACAGTAAGAGACTTATAGCATTCCCAGGTAATAGAGAAGACACAGCACAGCATATTTGAAAATTCCTGTCCTGGACTGGTAAGTCTCATTTTTTGCTGACACAAGGCAGCAACAAGGACATAGACAAGCTGTGCAGGCATTGTGCACTGTATTGAACCCACCTGACATTATCAATTATTGGGGTCTTCAAGACACGGAAGAGACGATACAGCTGAGGGTTCTGAGGTCCCTTCTTCACTTCTCCCCGTGGGGAGGGTGGAGGTGAGAAAGGTGGAAACAGGTCTCCTGGCTCCAGAACTATGTGCTCATCATCCTAGAAAAGAAGTCAGAGAGCCCCAAGGCTGCACAGTTGGGGCCTCGGTGGAATCCTGCTGCGAGGGACTGGAGGTTTAGTCCAGCACAACCCCTCCCACTACAAGTGACACAATACATGTTTGTCACAGTTCCCTCTCTCATGTCTCAAAAATTCATGAGCTAAACTACTGCTTCAAACTTGATGCAAAATTAAATGTTTGTGTTCAAGCATATCTGGTTATTTCATGAAAATTGGCATTTGGAGTGAAAGTTACGATAAAAACCAACAAAGGTAAATTTCAAGCTTTAAACTTTTTCCAATCTTCTTCAAGCAGCAAAATCTTTGCATAGATCTTGTAACTGATTTGTTAATTTACTTCTACCCCAGATATTTTATATTATCTTCTTTTATTGTAAATCAGTAGTAAGGAGAAGGTCAAAGCAGACAAACTATTTTTCCACATAAAAAACAGGATAAAGTAGGGGTTTGTATGTCATATCATCCTACTGGACAGATTCACTCCACTTATATTTAGCAGCACGTTACAATTTCCCCTTGACCTGGAAGAGATGGAAATATGGTGCTTTGGGATCACATTAGTGTCTTCTGTCCGTTGGGTTTGGGAGTTCATAGAGAAGATGCAGTCTGTCTGACAAAGTACTGCCCTTGACTGAACTGGAATTTCAAGCTATTTTCAAGGTCAGAAGAAATCAAACACTCTAATAATCTGTACACTGGGAATTAGAGTATTAGCAAGAAAATCCTGGGAAATATATTGTTACAGGCTAGAGAAATAAGACAAGCAAGTTACCTTAATCCCTCTCAGAGAAGCAAATGACTCCTGGCCTGGCCTCAAAGCAATGACATCTCCTTCTACTAACAGGCTCACAGGCAGGTTGACAAGATGACCATCTCTGTAGGCCCAGTGAAGGGACCAGGATGGGGCATAAGGCATATGAAGGTCAGGGTACATGGAGTCTGGCCATTTCACCTCTTTGCCAAGTGTATCTGAAAGCACAAAGCATGAAAGAATTAAGTGACAACAATTCTGGAGGGGCCAATCATACATTGATTTACCTCCTGTAGTGGCTATTGCCAGTGCTAAACTCAGTCCATTCCCATGATCTTTTATCATCTCTCTCTTTCTGCTTGATGGCTTTTCCCCTCTCTCTCCACCCACTATTAACAACTAAACATAATAACTTTATAACCTTAAACACATATTTGCACAATGGAAAAACTAAAGGCTGTCCTTAAAACTGCCACACTGAAATGAACTGCCTCCTCAGGTTCAAAAGCCCCCATTGAGACGATGCTCACGCGCAGCAATTTATTTCCTTCTGTTCTGTGTTGTGGTACAACCCCACGTATTCTTCTCTCATCATCTGCTGCAAGGCAGATATTTTTGTAAGATACTGAGGATTCAAATTACTCCAAAGCACAGACATAACAGACGCCTACCTGATAACACACAGATTGGAAGCACATGGCCACATGACAGCTCAAAATAACTATTTTACAGGACAGGCATGAGTAGGACACAATTCTCACAGCCTGTTTCTGTGTAACATAGGGGAAGGCTAGTAAGTTCAATTAGTAACGTATGTGATCAGGCTTGGAGAAAAATCCAATGGGAGGAAAACACAAATGGAAATGAGAAACAGATGAATGAGACCTCACCGTTTATCTTATCAATGATTGTCTGAAGTCTCCTCTCCACCTCTCTGCACTTCAGCCTCTCTTGACGCCCAATCATGAAGAGATCCAAGAGGAGAAGGAGGAAGAGTGCCAGTGCATTAACTATCTCAGCACCTTGGCTTTGCACAGCAAAACAGAAGAAAGCAGAAAGCAGATGAGGTTTGAGTAAATGAGCAGAATACACTGCCAGCCACCCACAGAGATAAATTTACACATGCTCAGTTGTTTATTCCTACACCCCACAGATTTATGGCTAAAAAAGAAAAGCAGGGGAGCTATGATCACACTTCTTTAGAATAATGCCACCAGAGAAGTCTGAAAGGACCCAGTCAAGGCATGCTCTGGTGCATGTGACAGCACAGTAACTTCTATAAGCCACTAACTTCTCCAGTTTCAAAATCTCTTCTAACTATGATAATGCCTTAGGATTTTTCAAGATCTAGAAATGCTGTAGAAAAAAAATCTCAGTCTCTCCATAGGACACTCGACAGGTCTATTAGAAGTAGAATTAAGTTGGCTGAAGTTTTGTGAAAGGGAATGATAGGGACAGAATTACCAGTGTGACTATGCTAATGTCTAGATGTCTAGAAAGAATGAGGGACAACACTGTTATGTCAGCCACACAAAGCATCGAGACGATATAAAACTACCACCTTGCTTCAGTTAACCAGCATAGGATGTTTTACTTACCTCCCCTGTGGCTGGCTCCCATAGCAGCACAGCAGCAACAGCACTGCCAGAAGCATCAGAGATGCACCAGGCCAGTGGAAACAGGAGCAACGGTTACCATGGTACAGAAAACTGCTCCTCCACACCTCCTACAAAAGGAGAGCAGCAGACAGTCAGCATTAATGAAGTACAGAGCCAGACATTTGAAAAAGCAGAGTGAGAAAGGGTGAAGACAGCAGTTGACACTACAGGGTGAACACAACTTTGTAAAACCCCTGAACAGGATACAGAGCATCCAGATCAGTTATGCGAATGCTACAGCACTAACAGTTGCTCAGCTGGCAAGTCTGGGTGAACACTCTCTGCTTTACTCTTGCCTGGAAGAATGAAAAGGCTTCTGTGCCAGGCTGCTCCATTGTCACTAACCAAGCGAGGAACACTTTTAAGTACTGTGCATAAACACTAGCACTTTGTATTCAATACACAGGCCAGACGAACATGGTGGACAAGGGCAGATGAGCTTCAGAGCTCTTTCTCTCCACCTGATATGGACCCCATAGGCACACTGCCATTAGTGGTTCCTGAAGCCCTTAGATCCTTTACAGGTGAAGCCAAGCTCCTGCAGAGCTCCAGCATCCAGGAAAGAAGTGCTGAGAGAAGCATACCCTTACGGAGTTTCCTTGCTTTGTTCCCAAGGACTTTAGCAGTTCTGCACCCAGACACTTTGCAGCAGCAGTCTGGGACAGAATTCAGCCAACTTTTGTTTAACCTTCAGCTTTATTTTGAGAAGGGGAGACTGTGTGCCCAACCTTGTGCTGTTTGGTGCCTCACCTTCCATGAAGTCACTTTTTTCCGTTCCTTCTGATGCCCCTCCAGCAGTGCTGACAACTGGTCTCTCAGGATTGTGAGGGCTTTCTTTGTGGTAAGGCCCAAACTTGAGGTCATCTCATCCTGAGGTGCCAGAAAAAAAACCTGTTTAGTGCTTTCCTATTTTCTTTTTAGGCTTTTTCTGGGTGGCTGACTGAGCACCCTACCATGAATGCCCTGCACTCATCACCACCTGTCTGATTCTCCATTTTCCTGAAATCATCTTCCCTTCTGTGAACTTTAGACTGCTGGCTGGAATTAGAGCACCTAGATAATATCAGGTAAACAAACCAGTCCTGACTGTGCCACATAAATACTTTATCAAAGCACAATACCAAGTCATTTCTGCGAAACAAGATTCTAATCAGCAGAGGCTGAGGACAGTACAAAGGGAGGCTGCTCAGCTCGGAGGTTTACACAGGCTTGAACTGGTATCAGCTTGTAGAGACAACAGAACACAGACAGTTATGGTAGAATTTTAATGATACAGGATGGATTTTGCTAACAGTAATAACAACCAAGTCGTAGAATATCTGCAAATCTAAACCAGTGGTCCAATTTCCACAACTGCTTGTTATGAATTTTTTGTTATGAATCCTGCCTCTGTGACTACTTTGATGCAGAAGCCCCTAGATTTAAGTGCTAGGCCATGGATCATTTCAGGAGGAGACATGACTCCAGCATCAACTCCTCCTTTTACAAGAGAAAGCACTAGAGTCTTAAGTGCTGAACTGTACGGACATACAAGGGAGGCATTTGGACTTGAAGAAAGCACACAGAGTCAAGAGCAATGCTTCCTCACTGGGCAGCAAAGAGGTAGCAGCCTGGAAGGATACAACCCAAGAGTGTGCCATCTGGAAAACACTGCTGTGAGGTGGTGATAACAAGAAAGTGGAGTCAACGCTTGCATTTCTGGGGCAAGAACACAATCACTTTCCTTTCTTTCAAATCACAGAGACTGCTGTGAGGTACTGTGGGTACCAGATCACTGAAAGTGAATCAACAAGGAAAAGCTGGCAGGTGTCCATGAAAGGGCTACAGCAGGTATCAGGGAACTGGTTAACAGAAGTTCTCATTTGCATTTCATGTTTTAATACAAACACCTTGAGGGTGTAAAGCGCATAGGATATCCTGCACATTAGAAATGTTCAGGTGTATCATACTGTTTACAGAGTACAGAACTACTGAACACAAAGAAGGCAGGAAGCTTCCCCCTCTGGTCCCCACCAGTGCGACACACAGCCCAGCAAATACAGCTTGGGCAAGGAGCTGCAGCTCTTCCTGCTATTGCAATCACCAGCTCTTCCCAGCCCCGCCAAATCCACCGCGGTCTCAAACTGCAGCAGCTCTGCTCTTCAGGAGCTGCATGCATGCACCCAGCTCTGCAAGTGCAGCTCAGCTCTGATCGGCACTTTTCTTCCTGTTCCTTAACCGAGTGGTTTTGTGATGAACATTTACCGGAAACTAATCTCAGACTTCAGACTCATTTGCATTGATGGTCCAATCCAAAACTGTAATGTAAGCATCAAGGAATAGCAGATAGATGCCTTTAAACTACCATCTACCGCACACACACTCCCCACCTATCAGGGACAATCTGAAATAGCAAATTCTGGCCAGGCAGTCCAGCAATGCTGCTTTAGCTGCACTTTTACAGAACTAAAAATAATCCTGCTGTAGTTTTCATTCTCTGTGTCAGTTTTAGGAATAGAGGAAGCAGTTCTGTGTTGTTCTTGGAAGCAGCCCAGGTAACATCAGCACAGGACTAAACATAGGAGTCTCTCAGAGACTCCCAGAGGAGAAGATGGCAGGCAGCATAGCTGGCAACAGACCTGCTGCTGCACCACAGGAGTGCTGCAAACAGGAGTGCCTGAAAGCAACGTGGAGCAAGTGACAATAAGGTTTCTCTCTCTCCGCTGACTGCTGGCTGAAGCATAGCAAAGCACCCACTCATCCTCTCCAACACAGAGAAAGCAGACAGATAAATAAAAGACACAGAATGAAAGGCAGCAATAATAAGAGGGACTTTAACTGAAAAGCAAAGTCTGCTTAGACGCCAAGCTGGTTCCAGTGGATACTTCAAGAGCTACAGAAGAAATGAGAGGAAAGCTGCACTTAATGCCAACATCTAGTACAGTCACACACTGCCTGAAAAGAGAAACTGCCACATCACACCAGGCAGCGAGCAGAAAAAGGCAACAAATGCAGAGGTAATCAAAAAGGTTCCTGAAATACTTGCACACCTGCTCCAGTCTTTACACAGGAGTTACCGTTTTGCCATAGTATCAGTCAAGGTAAGGGCAGCCACAAAGGAAGGTGGCTGCAGCAGGTGAGAAAGGACAAGTGCAGAGTGTGGCAGGGCTGGGGAAGAAGAATGGCAGGATGGGCAAGGATTGTTAAACACCCATCCTGACACTTAAAACATGGAGTATTCGTCAAAGCAGGCAGAGCCAGCCTGGTAAACACTGTAATAATATGAGTGAGAGGCTGCCTGCGGTGACTCAGATAACCTGCTGCCAGTGATCATCAAGAGAAAGTGCTCGGAACCAAGGAATCAAAGGCACAGGCAAGAAGAGCCACCCTGAGCTCCTGGCAAGGGGCAGCTCTAGGTTTCTGCAACAAGAGCTGCCCTGCTAAGTCATCAACTGCTAATGAGGCATTTTTCAAATGCCCTAAAGTAAACCTTTGTATATGGCAAACCTAGGTGCTCTTAAGCTGTCCCAGAGGGATCTTCCCAGCCTTTCATCAGCTGCAAGTGCTCTTCCTGCCACAAAACAGGAGGTGAGCACCCCAGGGTGAAGAAGCCATTCACAGGAGGTGTCAGTTCATTAGTAAAAAACTCAGCATTCACATATTTGCTTTGGACAGTTGCAGTCAAAGAGTAATCTGCTCATTTTCAGGTCAAAACAGAAACAGTTGAGACACCTTCCCACCCAGCTGCCTTAGCATAGGGTTTCCTCTGAAGAACAAAAAACCCCCCAAAAAACAGACAGTAAATTCCAGGTTACAGTGAAAGAAAACCCCTGATGGGTATCAGGAGGTATTTTAAAAGGCTATACTTTCCTTTTGCCCCTGTCTAAAGTGAAAAAGTCCTGAGAGAAAATGAGCAGTTGCTTCCTCCTTTGCCCAAAGAGGCTGGAGAGCACACGAGCCTCTAAGTGCATTTACAACTCCCCTGGTGCTGACCCCTGCCCTGGCTATCACAGCTTTAGTCTGAGAGGCGTGACTGAAGCCAGGTAAACACAGGATGATTGCAACCCTCTGCCTTGCAGATGATACTGCAGCTCTCAAGAGTTCTAACCTGCAGGATGGCTATTAAGGAAAAACACACGGTGCAGGAGATTTTTTTTTGTGCATGTGATTTTATTTTCTAGAGGGAATGAATGTGCTGAAGTGTGGACTGGACAGGAAGATGAAAAGATGCGTGAATTTCTCCAATTTCAGTAAATATCCTACGTGTTAAATTACTGCTTAGCTTGCCTGCAAACATTAGGGAAAGGGCACCGGAGCTAGATCTAGTGAATGGCCAGGTTTAGGAACTGGTTTGGCTCTTCAGGAAGGAGACAAGCAGCTCAGAGCTAGGAGATGGGGAGCCACAGAATCTGTAGACTTTTTTTTGCCTTCTCCTCTCAGCTGGCCCTCCATAGTTTGACAGGGGGAAATTAGTTGGCAACACCCATGATCCAGGAGCTTGCTGAAATCTGTAACCTTGCCTGGCTCACAGCAAAAAGGTTTCCTTTGCCTTTCTCATGAGTTGCAGGAGCTTCTTCAGACTGATAGATAGGAAAAGAGTGGTTATCTTCTGATTTTTCCTCCCACAATAAGTTGTTCCCGAGCATCACCACCTACTTACGTCTGCTTCCCGCAGCCCACCTTCATCCTCACACAAAAATCACCACTGGTTCCTGATCTCTCCTCCAAAATTCCCATCCTGTTCTTTTACACACAGAACCATTCAAGAATATCTTAAAATTTTATCACTTATTCTCACACTCTGCTATCTGAGGGACAGAGGTCTTGCTCCTTCCTTCAAGAGGAACAAACAAGCAGAGGTCAGAATGTGAGAAATGGACACAAAATATTAGTGTAATTAAGTCCTCTTATATTTTCATACAGCCATTACACATCCACAGCAGCATATTTATTTGTTGTGCCAGTAAATGTTGATATAATATGCGGTGTTGTATCATATGTGCCAAACATTTTTTAAAATAATACTGGAGCACAAATATATTCTTTGCTTTACAGATCAAAGTGGGTTGAATCATCCTCCATCCTCTGTGGATTCAGTCCTTTGCAGAATAAAGGCTTCTCCCCAAGACTGCTGAACACTTGAATGTAACTGCCTTTACAAAGATTGTTTAAACAAATAAGGGAATAGAAAACAGAAGATTTGCTAGAAGCTTCAATTTTCAGAGACTGCAGATCCAGCCCTCTGATTCAGAGTGGTATGGAAAACCCCTACGAGGCAGCTGTCAGATTGTTTCCTTCTTTCCAGGCTGCACACACTAGGCCCCTTTTTTAACACTTCTACTCAATTGTTTTTCAGATTTAAACATTTGGAGGTGGGAAACTGGACAGCAGAATGTTCTTCCTTTTTCTGAGAGCTATTTTGCATTCCTTAGCAGAAAAAGAAGGTAGTTTTTAATTTAACAATGATGTTTTGCAGGCTATTAATCTACTTCAGGGATTACACCTCCTGAAATGTAAGCATCATTCACAGTTTCAAAAACACATGAGAAGGAGTAACTCCACCAAATGTATCTGCATTTAGTATTGTAAGTCAGATTCTTGCTTAGGATAAGGCACAACATGACACATAGTGGGGTTTCTGGGGTATCATCAGAGAGGATGGCAGACATCATACACACAACTGTGTGCAATTTGTTGGGGCAACATTTCTTACAGCAGGCTAGTGCTAGAGAGGGATTTATTCTTGTTCTAAGGTAAATCATATGTCATGATGCTACAGCTCTGTCCAACTGCAGGTGCTGAGCTAGTGCTCAGGCTGCCTGAAATGGCATATCCATGCTACAAAATGATACAGATGTAGCCAGCAAAGCCAATGTATAGGCCACTCTGGG